ATTTTCCATTCGCCCTTTTGGACGCAAGTCGAGTTGTCTGTATTGGGTGGGGAGGACGGAGGAGAACATGCCGCTTGGCCTCCCGGACTTGGGATCGCTGCGAGGGGCTGACGCTGAGGACGGACAGCGTCGCACCGCAGTGTAAGAGCGGTCCACCTTACTAGGTATTCTCATGTGGTCCCGTCGGAACGACGCCTCGGTTCTTCCGCTGACCAGCCCTGCACCACCATCTTGGTGCGTGCGCACCCTTCGAGGTTTCCGCTGGTTCGGATATACAAAATTGATCGAGGCAGGAGGCGATTAATCTCCAAGGCTGATGGAGGGAATGAGCACGGACACCATAGGGAAGAGTTCCGCCCATTGCTGGTGTTTGTCAACTTGCCCCTTCCTGAGAACTGCGCCGATTCTGGCCCCCGGATCGATCGACTAGACGCCTACCTCTGGGTCCTGGCTGGCGTGCCCTGCAAAGGATAGGCTAGTTACTCGCGCCAGATCTCTCCCTTGAGGGCGAACACGGACAGACAGTCGGGGGCGCTGACACCACTTTTGATTCACGGATGTCTCGCACTGAAGGGCCCGCGTCACAGGGACCCTTCAATGCCCTTCAATGCACGCACTGAGTCTTGCGCGTAGAAAACAGGGGAAAGCAACTTCGGTTCTTATCTATTCACCCTTTATTCTTCCTTCTTTTTCGCGCCATGCTTTTTTCTTCTTCCCTTTTTCACACTCGCGATTCGAGTTTGTTTTGGCAATTACTTGCACCTTAAGCCTCCAGTCTCCATCGAGCCTCCTGCGATTGATCCCCTTCGTTTCAGGCTGGCGGTGCGTTTGAGAGCATCGCGCTAATTCAGCCCGAGGACTGGGGTATCTGGTCGCTTGGTTGCAGCCAGTGGGGATGGGTCGCCAAACTACCTAGTGTAGGAGCAGATGTTTCGCTGGACTGGCCCAGGGCACCGTCCGTGGACTGGATCCCGAAAACCCTAGAGCTAGAGAGTACCCGTCAGGTGGGGTTCTATCCAGTGGTGGTGATGGCATGCAAAAAGCATCCGTCGGATGTTAAGGATCGGCTTCCTGAATGCCACGAAGTATTCCCGCTTCCTCAAGGTGCTCTCATCACTCACCCAAGTGCCCGTGAGCCTGGCTCGTCCCTCCATTCGGACTCCCCTTGTCTTTTTCTTTTTCTTTTCTTTTTTTTTTCTTTCTTTGCAATGTAAATCCCGAGGCTTTTAATGGCTTGACTGCAAGAGATCTGTGGTCAGGCCAAGCTAGTCCCTTGGTGCGGAGGGTATTGGTTACTGGCCGAGAAGAGGTTCTCCACGCTAGAATCGTGATCTACAAGTAGCATTCTTGACGGACTGTCATCTTTTCAGTGGCACTCACTAGGGTTCTGAAGGACACCAACACCACTTCTCTGTTCTGTTCAATCCGACCGGAAAAGAGCAGAAAGAAATCGCCCCTCCACCCTCCACTTCCTCTCGTGGCTCTCGGACGCAGTTCATTCCCAAGACCCACTTGCACTCCCAGATCCGACACCTTGCAGCAACGCCAGCGCTTGCCAAACTCCCTGGAGTACACGACATGGGTGCCCACATCGGGCCCGCACCTCCTTCTTCAGGGAGCAGGAAGTTTATTAGTGCAGCACAGGGAGGAGGAAGAGAAACAAGGTTCAATGACGGCCATGCTCTTGCCCGAGGAGGGGCGAGTGCTTGGCCAGCGTTTAGTCCTTCGCCAGGGTCTTCTGTTTCTTCTTGAGGAGGTTCCGGGGCTCCTCCGTCATTGAGTGACAATTGGAATGCGGATGCGAAGGGGGCTCCTTCTTCAGACCGATCATTGACAGAAGCTAAGACGGTCTAGGAAGAGTGACAAGCCCTCGCGCCCGATGTCTGGGGACCGAATGGATTGGATGGACTAATTGATCTATGAAGGGTAAAAGGGTGGAGGCTCGGGTGGTCTTAGCCCTGAAGCCCGAGATGGAAGCTGGCACAATGATACCCTCAAGCCCTTCCCCAACCTTTCTCGAAATACCACCAGCGGTTTTCGGTTCTGAAATGTGGCTGGCACAAGCTACGCTGCCAAGTCTGACAGCTCACTCAAGACACTCAGACACTTTACTTTGCACCTCTCCGATATGTGACCTCCGATCTCACAAAATGGGCCAGCTCCTTGAACCCAAGTACTTTGGTGGGAGAGGGTAAGCCGTTGATGGCCGGATGCAGCACGCTACTTGTAGGCGCTGGCAGTCGGGCCACGATGCTCCTCGTCTTCCGAGAAATTTTCCTCTTGGTTCCCCGGTCGGAAATATAATCCTGCAGGATGGAGTTGAGGGCATGGAATGTGAATATTGCCTCGAACGGAGGAAACCCGCGGGCGCAAAGAGCAACGTGGACTCTGCAGTCTCGTTGATCCATAATTACCCGCTCCACCACTGCTAACCCCACCGCCTCCAGGCCTTCAACCCACTCAACAGCGTTGCCAAGTGCCACAAGTTAGGGATCAGTCGGCTTTCTAGACGCTCGAGAACAAGAATGGAAGCAGTTTGAACACGCCCAGGGAAAATCTACAGGCTAACTCGCCGACATCAATTTGCGCTATGCACTTCTTGTACCTTTGAGCGAGACTAGCATCGACTTTAGTTTGCGAATGGGGCAATAGGCATACGGATTGGGAACAAGCCAAACGCCTTTTTGGCATCTGTCTCTAAACGTGGGCTACACGCCCGCGAATTGTCCATTCGGTGAACTATGGCCTCGTTCTGTTTTTTCTCTCCCTTTTTCTGGCATCGCTTTCTCTCGTCTTGCCGTATGACCATCTATTTGACAACCGAGAGACCAGCGAATAATCACAACCCTGAGGATTGTGGGGGTCATGGAAAGCCAAGCGATAATCCTGGACGGTGAGGCATTGAAAGGGAGTGGATGCTGACCGACATTTGCTTGTACACAACAAGCAATCATCAGTTCTCGCTGACCCATTTCCTACTGTGCCGTTGACGTTGGCGGTGCTCACTTGGGTTTGGTTGCCTCCAGGCTAAGCAGGTACTCCACGTCATGCATCCATAGATCTCGATTGAAGGTTTGAGACAGCTTCCTGCTCGACGTGGTGTTGAAGACACCAACGGAGAAATAGCGGACATCCCGCTGATGGCAGCCAGGTCGGGCTGTCCGGTCCTCTCGGTGGCCAGCCTTCAGCATGGTGGCTGACACAACTGACGGAGATGGCACACTTGCTTTTATTTATCTTTAAGCGGAATGAGGTTATCTTATTGCAGAGGTACTAGCACCATGGCGGCGAACCACGACATCCATCGGTCGATTGGCTTCTCGCCAATTCTTGATGTCTTTGTCATCACGCCTCGGTACTTACTTCATACTACTGCGATTGATCCATTGGGGGTAGCTGGTAAATAATGTATACCGGGTTGTCCACCGAAAGGGAGAAGAAAAGAAAAAGAAAAAGAAAAAAAAAAGAAAAGAAAAACGAGGCGAGAACGAGATTTCTGGTTCGTGATCGGTCTACGGGACGATAGCAATAGTCGATCCAATCCGAGATTAAATGGGGATGCTCCCATGGCAGTACTTTATAGTAGCGGGAATTTGGGAGTACATATTAATGGCAACAACCGGCAGCCCAAGTGATCAATTGCCCACAAAAAGGACCCTAAAGAATTTTAGGTTGGAGCTGACTAGGCTTTGGCCGTGGGCACTGCTCATTGTACTCACGAGCTCGCTTTATCAATGGATCCATCCAATCCATAGTGCTGATCCATCAATCCATTCCATGGATAGAGATCCATTTGATTGATTGATCCATCCAGCCATCCATGCCATCCATTACGTCTAGGGCACTGTGCTGGGGAACTTCCTCGGTGTCAACTCGGAAGTCGGTGGGGTGTTCCTGCAGCGCTTGAAAAAGACCACTTGTTCCAGTGATCAATTTCTTGGAAAGGGGATTTGAAATACTAGTGCAGACTTGAGCTGCAGCAGCAAGGCGAAGCCTCAAGAAGAAGGATTGATTACAAGGAGCGGTCCCTTGAACAAAGTTAGGAATGACCTTTGTCTAGTGTATTTGAAAAAGGCCGCGAGAAAAAAGGCCAAATTTGTTGCTTGAGCCTCGCCCCCTCACTTACACCAATACAAGTGGAAGGACGAGGGACTGGCGATGGACCAGTCCTTTGGTTTGGCAGACACCGGACCAACCCAGGCAAAAAGAGCCCTTGAAGACAAGGAACGAGTCGCGAGTCGAAGCCGCGGTCACCCAGAACGATGAATCGATTGATGGATTGATGGACTGATGGGTCCATCCATCCATCGACTGGGTGTATTGGTAATGATCTGTGCCTGTTGATTACCACCTTGGTCCCGTCATCTTGTCTGGCAAGTACACTGGACCCAAGTACTGAGGTAGCTGCGTACCCAGTCGCCCCTACCCTACCTTGCCTACCCACCTCTCTGGCATTCCCCCTTCCTCGCACCCAGGACCGGCCGAGACAGTCATCCACCCATGGGTGCTCCCTCCCTCCTCCCATCTCCCGAGTGCACATACACCCGCACCTCCAACCTTTGTCCACCCCACTCCAGCGCACTGCACACCCCCTACCTCCCCCTCCCTTCTCTGTGCTCTTGTCGAATTGAGAGGACTAGCGTCCACTTCCACATTGCCAATGCTCGTTGCGCTTGTTCAAGTCATTTCGCCCTCGACCTACGCACCGTACTAGTACTTCATACCCAGAATCCCACCTCCACCATTGAAGAGATATCCCCATCTCTTCAAACTTATTCTCCCGTTCACCCAAACTCAAATCGCGTGACTGTGGGAGACACTCTCCTCCATCCCCTCGTCACTCCCGCCTCCGTCATCCACGTCGCCGAAAGACCCTTCCTTCACCTCGACCGTTGAGTTCATGTCTCGTTCCTGCATCGCCATCGAATTCGCCGGCAAGTAACGGTCGTTTATACGCGACCCTTGCTTTGCCCTCCTCCGCCCTCTCACGTATCCTCGTCATGACCCACGATCCGACCTCTAGGAAGATCCTCCCCCAGAGCTCGCAAATGGCGTCTTTTAACTTCGTCCCTCAGCCTGCGCCGCAGGCGCAAAAGAGTGCGCCGACCTCCCCTCTCTTGCGCTTCCTTTTTTCCGCCCTCTGCATCGATGTGCGCATTCTGCCGAGGTGCAGCAGCAGATCCTCGACTAACCCTGAACCCCGCTAGATTATGTCTTCGTCGACGAGCACAACCGCCACAAGAGGCTCAAAGGTATGCCTTCCACCTGAGCACGGCTGACTTGGCGATTTTTCATGCTTACTTGGTTACTCGAAATTCTGTAGTGATGCGCGCATGCGAAGGGTGCCGAAGGCGCAAAATCAAATGTGATGCCGCCACCACAAATACTTGGCCATGTTCCGCGTGTGTCCGACTCAAGCTCCATTGCGTCCGCCCGAATGGCTTCGATGGTGCCACGACTGAAGGTGGGATCGATAGCGCCCCGACGATGCAAAGCGGCAGTGCTTCAGCTTCCTCTACCCCGATGTCTGCCTATGATCCCTCCAGTCGAAGCTTCAGTGCTGCCCCTACTTCTGTTCATGGAGGCTACTCGCAGCAGTCCATGATGAACACTACGCCAAAGGCCGGCGGTCCCATATACCAGCAGCCTTCTTTTGCAGAGAGCCAGACAAATCTCTTCCAGGCAGTCCAGTACCCCGATGCGCAACAGCAATCACAACCGAACCTGCATTACGCGAGCGTCAATCCCGCTGTTAACGTTGTCGACGAAAGCTACGCTTCGCACAATGTTTTCCCGACGCCCCCATGCATGGAGGCCCAGCTCAAGAAAATTCCCCTGGTTCATATTCCCAGGATAGTTATGGCCAACCGGACCTAGCAGACCTTTTAGGCTCCTTGAAGGTCAACGAAGCTGGCACAGGTAAGCATCAATCGGCTCCACGATGGGTAGCCTCCTCTGTGTTTCCCACTTATCCCGCTTTTTTCCATGCGTGAACGACTGGTGTGAGGCGCGATCTGACATGCCGCGAAAATACAGCACCATATCTGCGGAACAAGGCTTCCTTTCGACGAGAAGAGGAGCCCGTGATCGATGAAGTCGACGATTTCAGCGTTGTTTTGCCTCCAATGACCCCCGGAAAAATCAGGATCCCACCGGCCCTGATGCCCGATGACGCTACGGCACACCAGTATCTCGACCTATACTTCACCAACGTACATCCCTTCCTCCCCGTACTCAGCAAGGCAATCTTCTATCAGCAGTGGAACACGAATAGAGCGGCAATCTCGCCGTTGATCCTAGAAGCCATGTTTGCCATTGCCGGAAGGCTAGCGGATGAGCCGGCTCAAGGCCAGCAGTGGCTAGCTTTAGCAGCGGGTAAGCACTTCTCAGAGTGTCCAAGCGCCGCACTGCAGTTAGGGAATATTGGTACTGACCCAAGCTAGCGCATGCCGATGCATTCATGGACGTCCCTCGCCTCAGTACTCTCCAAGCCCTCTTGATCATCCTCAAGGCCAAGGAAGGAGCTCCTAAGAAAGGTTACTACTATCGGTCTTGGATGGCTATAGTACAGTGCGTTCAGATGGGCAAAGATCTTGGCCTGGACGAGCATTACGCGGATCACCAAGCGGGTAGAGGGTGCGAGTCGACAGAGTTGGAATGCCGCATGAAGACCCGCATCTGGCAAACCGTTTTTGCCCTCGAAGTAATGATTGGGTCCCCTCAAGGTAAGCAACAAAGTTTCATCTCGAGCCGCACCCCTCGCGATTTGAACATCCTTCCACATTGATCCTTCTCGTGGAGCACAGCTCACATATGGCTATTGTAGGACGCACGGATCTGGCGGTGGATATCGATGAGGTCGACTTCCGCTTGCCCCAACCCATTCCTGGCGACGATGAGGAAGAGGCTGTTGTAAGCCGGAATTTCACTCACCTTGCCAGGCTAGTCCGAAATGTCAGCCGAATGAACTCGGTGTATGCGCGCATCAAGAAGAGAAAGGAATGGGGCATTGACCCCGAGTTTGTTCAGCTCAACCCCTCTTTGAATTCGTGGCTTGCAGAGCTACCAGCTGATCTATCTATCACGTTTCCTCCCGACAACTCACCACCCTGGATCCCGTCCCCATTCGTTGGGAACCTCCACCAGTATCATTACTTGACTTTCATACTGCTTCACCGGCCGCAGCTAGCATTCTGTGATCCCAATGATCTTGAGGGGAAGTGGAAGCAGCATATGATGATATGTTATTCCTCGGCCAAGGCGATATGCAGGGTACAGGAAGCCATATTGAACTCATTTGGCATGAGTGGCCTTCAGTACATGCTCCGTGGGTTCAGCTTCCCGGTCTACTGTGCCTTGTCATGCGTCGTACTGCACCTGGTAAGTCATGTAGCAGGGGACAACGGGATTCCTCATGTCCAGCAACCCTCGCGCGCGATTCCCCCACCGATATCTCGAGCATTTTGTCCTCCGCTAACGCACTTGGTCTTTTAGGTTGCGATGACTTCTCCGGACCCCGACTTGAACACAGACTCTAGAGAGTTTTTCCAGAGGCAGATGCGAGTTATGGAGAAGATCATGGTAGTATGGCCGATGCCGGAACTGCAAAGGCAAATTGACGCCGTTCGAGAAGCCTTCTCGATGGATACGAGGAAGCCGTTTGTCCTCAAGCCCTCTTTCCCTACGGGAGCCCGACATCCAGCGCCGCGACACCACCTCGCTCAAGTCCGGGCTATAGGCCTCTGATAACCCCCGGCAGCCAGCTTCATTCTCAAGGGAGCCCAAGCAACCTCCAGGCGTCTCAGATGGGATTTTCCACTCAAGCCATCACCCCGCCCATCTCAGCAGGACCTCCTGATGGGAAGAACGCCTCTCCGATGATGGTTTTTGCTGGTCAGGCAACCCAGGGCCCAGGGATCGGACAGCCAATGCCGATGGGGGAACAACCGAGCTGGAATCCGGCGAGGATCTTCGAGTAAGTAGCGCCCCCGGACCGACGAACTGCAAAACTGCAACCCGTGGCGATTGTCTCAGCTAACACACAGTGCTTAGAAATTGGAATGCGTCATTTGGCAACCCGCAGGCGCAACAGCCTAGCCCCAACTCCGGCGGCATGAATGCAGCATCGATGAAGTCTTCGTCCTCGAGCCCTCCCGATATGTCAAGCTATTCGAGCCTTCCGGCCGATCCTCTGACATCAGGAGCGCAAGCGATGCCTGCACAACAATTTACAGCAGCGCCCATGCCAAACTTCATCACACCAGCCATGTGGCAAGAGTCGGTCGCCAGTGTCTATGAGGTTGGCCTCAAACGCGCTTGGGACTATGACGGCGGACCGATGAAACGACACTAGTGGAAGTCGGCCAGCATCCGGCACACAGAATCTGCGTTAAGCCGTACTATCATCATTCATCATCGTCTTGCCTTGTCTATCTTATGAGGCGTTTTTTCATGGCCACGGATTTCGCAGGCTGAGGGCTCTTTTCTCTTTGCTGCTGTGGCCCCCTTTGCCATATATCTCTCTCCTTGACTGCGTTGAGGATGGGGAAACGGAAACTAATGACCAAGTTTGGTTTTCCTCTTTCTTCCCCTCCAGTTCATCACCCAATCCTTCCCCTTGCTCTCTTTTTACATGGAGCGTTTTCACGTAATGTTTTCCTTGGGTCTGGCTTTCAAAGCCCTCGCTCTCTTATGCGAGGTTCTCATTTCCTTGCTACGAACTCCTGCTACTCTCTCTCTCTCTCTCTCTCTCTCTCTCCCTATATCGTTGGTTCCTCTTTCCTTTCCCTTTCCTTTTTTTCCTCTTTTGTTTCTTGTTTTTCTCACGTACGATCGCGGTTCTCGTCCTGGAAGACGTATCGGAACCCTCACTTTTGATGAGTGTGTAAATAGATACGGACGGTCCACAAAAACCAAAACTCGGGGAGTTAGTTGCATTGGGCTTTTCTTCTTCTCTCTTTTTACCCCTTTACTATGGCAGGCGAGTGGGTAGAAGGGCCATAGGAAGGGTATGCAAGGTCTGGACTCAAAAGGATGGCAACAACCCGTGGACATGGACAAGGGCGGTGTTTGGTTTGACGTTGCTCGATGATTCCGCTTATGGGAGGCATATGTCGCCTCGGTCTCGCTTGCGCTTCCCGTCTCGCTTTGAGACCAAGGAAACCATGGAGATGGTGGTTTGTAGGCGTTTTATGGGGATATGAAGTGTACAATATTGGGTCTACGATTTCCTTTTTCTCCCTTTCCCAGTTATCATCTTCTTGTTTTATTTTCTTCCCGTTTATTTACCGAAAGGCGCAAGAAATCCTCATGGCGGGATTTCCTAATACTCGCTTTCTTGCTCGTTATCAACCTTGGAACGGGCTAGGTGGAGAGGCATTACGGGAAGAGAGAGGATGGAGATGTGGTTTCGGATGCCTCCACTGTAATAATAAGATACAATCCGCTGCTTGAGACTTGAATTGCGCCTTTCATTTGCAAGACATGGGGTGGACACCTCAATACATTTCTCGTGGGAGTAGAACGTACGTTGCCCTCTAAGAATTGAATCCATTCATCAACCAAGTACAGCAAGCACTGCACGGAAGCCAAGGCTCGGACGCCTAGATCGGACAAGCTAAACGCTGATGTGGAGGCAATAGATGCATAGATCTTCCATCTTTGCGGCTATCAAAGGCTTTGTGTGGGACGCTAAGGAGGGTTCAAGTTGGTTGGGATAGTTGGGGCGATTGAAGGGAGAGTAACGCCACCACAGCTGCATTATCAATCAGTGCCGGGTTTCCGTGGCTTTGAGGTGAGTCGCCAGCTATTGAAAAGAACAAGGGACCAGTGAGTCTCTGTCTCTCGGCTTTTTCCGCGGTCGCCCCTCTCGCACTCACAGCCGAATTTTTCTTAAGGCCGAGTTCGCTCCTCCTACGCGAACATGACGCATTAGGAAACCGGCTGGTAGAAAGAAAAAGAAAAAAGAAAAAGAAAAAGATACCCTCAAAGAAAGCTCCACCAGCTTCCATCATCCTTTCATTCTTGGGAGTCGGGGGCAAATTAATTCTTTCCTCGTCATTTGGTAATATCGCGATTTCTTTTACCACCGACCATCCATGTACTGGGGATAATTTTTTTGGGTTTCGTCTGCCTTATATCCCGGATTCTTTCTTCTTTCCCATATTCGCTCGGCACGTTTTTCTCCTCACGTTTTTTTTTTTTTTTTTTTTCTTTATCTATTCTTCGCTGAACGCCTACCAACCCACCTCCGAACTCCCCGACGCCCCCCAGATCATGCGCGGTTTCCCGCTGATATGACCCCGATCGTCCGAGCAACGGCTATAGAACAAGATCAGGATCCGAGCAACGGCTATAGAACAAGATCAGGATAGATTCTGGGCCGGCGCTGCGGAGGCCGCAACCGAAATGGCTTCGGCCACGATCAACCGAAACCTACGCGATGCGGGCAGCGAAGACGATATCACGGCGGGACAGAAAATGATGTCGGCGATATCGGGCAGCCTGTTAACCTCTCTCCTCGGTATGTTGCACACGTCAATCGGTTTTTTTCTTTGCTTGCGCTATTCTTTTGGTCCTGGCATCCCCGAGAGGCCGCAAGTGCGCATCGGATGATTTTTCTGCCCCCTCTCCCACCCCCATTCCCTTGAACGGAGAATCTCAAATTGAGGTTACTACAGTGTACTAATGATGATTCACAACCTAATAGTAACTCCCTTGACGTGGTCCGAGTCCGGCTCCAAGCACAAGCTGTCGCGAAGCCTCCCCGATCGATTTTTCCAAACTCGCCCTGACGACAACCTCCCTCCAGAACCTCCGCGCCGCCGACCTCGGCGTGACATCTTGTTGCCGCGAGGTCTTCTTTTCCAACAATAATGCCGAGTTCTGCATCATGGCACCGCGCTCCGGGCCAGCGGCGGCGGCGACGGTGACGCTCACCAACATCGACTGCGCAGTGCAGGAGGCGCAGAGGAGGACGATAAGCTCCACAATGGACGGATTCAAGAAGATTGCCCGCAACGAGGGCTTCACTCGGCTGTGGAAGGGCCTGTCGCCAACGCTCGTAATGGCGATCCCGGCCAACATGATTTACCTTACTGGGTACGACTGGCTGCGTGTGAACGCCAAGAGCCCGATTGCGCAGTCGGTACCGGATGACTACGTACCCTCGTCGCGGGCTCGACCGCGCGAACGCTTGCGGCGGCGGCGGTGAGTCCCGTCGAGCTCTTCAAGACCCGGCTCCAGGCAACAGCGGGTGAGCCGGGCACAAACCATGTGCTCGAGACGTTTCGGGGCATCCAAGATATGGTATCTTCCCAAGGGTACCGGTCGCTGTGGAGGGGACTGACCCTGACGCTGTGGAGGGATGTCCCATTCTCGGGTATCTACTGGTGGGGTTACGAGTACATACGGGGCAAGCTTACCGACATGCGGGACGAACGGCGAGGTCGTTCGTTTGACCGCATCGGACCCAAGAGCCAGGTGCGGCGGCGATCGCAAAGCCACGACAACCACCGCGAGACGTTTACGGACAGCTTCATCGCGGGCGCCACGTCGGGAGCTGCGGCGTCAGTGTTGACGATGCCGTTCGACGTGGGCAAGACGCGCACGCAAGTGTGGCGCGACGGCAGCAAAGCGGCGGCGGAGGCGGCGGTGGCGGGCGTACCCGAGGACAAGTCCATGGTGCGGCTACTCTGGCACATTTTCAAGAACGAGGGCGTGGCGGGGCTGTGGAGGATGGATCCCCGGACGCTCAAAGTCGCGCCCGCGTGCGCCATCATGATTAGCAGCTACGAGGTCTCCAAGAGGGTGTTTCGGAGCGTGAACGAAAAGTCTGGCCTGGACAGAGCGGGGAGGCTGTGAGCGCGGTGGTATCTACGACGTAGGGCCGCCGGTGCTGGGTGGTTTCTCTTGATCTTCTCTCCCTTGCGCCAAACCTCACATGGCTTCCTCTATTTTTTTTCTTGTACACTTCTCTCCCACCCCTCCCTTTTCCCATTTTCGATTTTCTCTCTTGGCTTCTTTTGCTTTGCTTGGCGTTGTCTTATATAGGTACATCTCCCATGATTGCATTGGCCAGGCGATTTTACATGAAGCTAGAGAACGGTATATATATAGTGGCTTAATTTTTAGACCTTTTTGGTGGTCCTCTCTCTATTCCTCTTGCTCCATCTCTCGCATTCTCATCTTTCAGTTTATCTATTGACTGTACTCGGGTGACATGGACGAAAGATTAAGCAGAAATTGGCGATGGCCAAGTCGAGTGTATCGGCCAGCAAAGCAAGACGTCTTCCTTCGCAGAGTTGAAGAATATATTTTAACGAATGATAGAACGGCACCTACCCGATGGTTTGTCTTGCCTGCAGCATGCGTCGGCATGGTATCTTGGAATGGGCCATCTCTAATCTTCTTTCAAGCCGTGACGTTACAGTGAAGAACAAGCAAGCCCCTGTTCACTCACGTTTGGTGGCACGCTTTCAACCAACTAGACCACACGAGGTCAGGCATTCTCGCCAGGATTGCGATTGTCAGCTCAAATGACTTGTTTAGCGTGGGCTTTGCTTTTAGGGTGGCTGTTTTTTTTTTTTTTTTTTTTTTTTGGTTTGTAAGGGCCTTGCAGAAGGTTGCTTTAACAGTTTCGAATCGGACGAGGTAGGGTTCAGTGCTTATCGTGAATCCTGGAGTTGTGGTTGTGTGGTGAGAGGCACAGGTGCGAGGGAAGTGGACACGAGCGTGGGCGTGTAGTGATAAGCCACTGGCTGCAGGAGACGAGTGGCGTCGGTCGCGCACGATTCGAGACGCGTAAAGTGCCGACATGTCCAAGACACGCGTTTTTTTTCTCCCCCGGGCTGTTATAATACCAAGGGGGAGAAAAGTAAATCAGCGGAGGAAGACTAGTTGATGCCTAACGCATCAATTCATCCCCTATGCTGGAAACCATTGGAGATCCATGTGTGCGTGATCATTTGAGCAAGGGATTGATACTTGTATTTTCCTTGACATTTTACCAAAGATTGAACGCGGAGTGCTACTAGCTGCCCTACGGACCATGGGACGATTTGCTCATACCCCTTGTCCGCAATTCGACTTGGCCGTTTGCTGGATGCGTGTGCTTTAATCGCTACATTGATCAAATGTAGCTACAACGAACGAGCCCTTGACCTGCAAAATAGACCGTGTATACTCACTCATTTAGCCCACCAGCTGAGTACTTCAAGGGACTCGGCTTTGGCATTCTCATCACGCCAACAGGAGTGAACACAGACCCGCATAGGGCGCAAGGCTGTCACCGGGCCATCTTAATTGTATTTCTCAAGGAAAGTGGAGAGATGCAAAAAGAACGGAACAAAGCTGCGGGGGTGGCAGAGGGGAGATGAAGACGAGGGAGATGAGGTCGATGGGAGATAATAGGGGTCAGCTTCCCTCATCCGCAAAGACGGTGCTTCTTCATTGGGCAGGCAGCGTTCCGCAAGAGGGCGTCAACCTTGCTCCGCGTCCTTGAACCATTCGCACACAGCATCCAAGTATTCTACCCCAACCATGCAGGGAGTGTTTGCGTGTCACGGATCAAGTTGGGGGCCTCTCTCTCTCTCTTTTTTTCCTTTCTTTTTTTCCCCTGGGGTCCTGGGTCCTAAGCTAGGGGCGTAGTGGGTCCGTTGCCTCGTTAGCTCCATGACCTTGGTCCTGAACCTGGTCCCGGTCCTGGTCCTGGTTCCTGTATCATTTGCTGACACTGCCTCGAGTGGTCTTTTGGTGAAAAGACGACCGAAAAGCCCATGTCCTCGACGTCGAACCTGAGAGTCTGAGTCTGAATCCAGAGCTGAACCATGCTGCCTGCGTCCTCGTGAGCCACTGATCCTCCTCACTTGCCTGCCTGCATCAAAGGAGAACACGCTCACGACCTGTGCCACCCTCATCTATCCCATCCGCGTGTCGTATCGTGTCGTGCTCTCTCTCGCTTGGCCCTCGTCGCTCCGCCAGGAACCATCAGCCTTGCCTCCCGCTTCGAAGCGTCCCCACGCACACATTTGGGGGAGCTTGCTCTGACGTTTTTGGGGGCTTTTCCCACGACGGATCTGACCCTTGACAAAGATCCCCCATTCGATCCATCTCAAAATTCCTTTTCCGCGAGAGACACCTCTCCAGCACGAGCACCACCGCTCGCCTTTTTTTTTTTTGGCCCTACACTCCCCGGTACACCCCCTTTTTGATCTTTCTTTTCTTTTTCTTTCGTTTTCTTAACTTTGCCGCCTTCGCTCTTTTTTTCTCTACATATCTTTCCTACCCTCCCATCACAATTACCACTCTCGCTCCCGTTCTCAGACTACCGCCCACCCTGGTTCGCTTAACCATCTCGTCCCAGAGTCGTCGACTAGCGCCGCTTCTGCCTGCTCCTCGCCCTCGCTCGCACCGGCCCTTGCCCCCTCTCCTGCCTTCGACCACGCCTACGCATCGCCGCTTTATATCCTCGACTACCGCGCCCGCTGCCCGTTCTCGACCTGTTCCCCGCGAGCTCCCGCCATGTCGACGTTGAAACGCAAAGCCGGTGTTACCACCGCCCCCGACGCGAAGAAGCCCAAGCAAAACGGAAACATCATGTCCTTCTTCGGCGGCGGCGGCGGTTCGGCCAAACCCTCCACGACCGGCTCGGAACCGGCCTTCAGGTTCGACAAGAAGAAGTGGGTCGCCGGCTTGACCGCCGAGCAAAAGGAGCTTCTCCAGCTCGAGATTGATACCATGCACGACAGCTGGTTGGCCGTGCTCAAGGACGAGATCACTACCAAGGAGTTTCTCGAACTCAAAAGTTCCTCGCTAGAGAGGATGGCGCTGGGAAGAGAATCTTTCCCCTCCAGAGGACGTCTACTCTTGGTATGTAGTTAGAATGTGCTTGCCCCTTTCCGTGGCTTCTCTCCTTGTTTCTGACCCCTTTCCGCAAAACAACATGGCGCCTTGTATGCTAACACGTTCCCTCTCCTCCGATAGGTCACGACATACCCCCTTCAACACCGTCAAGGTCGTCATCGTCGGCCAGGACCCTTATCACAACGTCAACCAGGCCCACGGCCTCGCCTTCTCCGTCCGCCCTCCCACCCCCGCCCCTCCTTCCCTGCGGAACATGTACATTGCCCTCAAGAACGATTATCCCAAATTTGAGCAGCCCCGCGCAAAGGCGGCCTCCTGACCCCCTGGGCGGATCGCGGCGTGCTCCTCCTCAACACGTGCCTAACGGTGCGCGCTCACGAGGCCAACAGCCACTCCAACCGCGGGTGGGAGCGCTTCACCCAGCGCGTCATCGACCTCGTGGCCCAAAAGAGGACCCGCGGCGTCGTGTTCATGGCGTGGGGTACCCCGGCCGGCAAGAGGGTCATGAAGGTGGACAACACGAAGCACCTCGTGCTCACGGCCGTCCACCCTAGCCCCTGAGCGCCGCTCGGGGTTTCTTCACCTGCGGTCACTTTAAAAGGCTAATGAGTGGCTTACCACGCGGTACGGCCCCACCGGCGAGATCGACTGGAGCTTGGATCCCAAGCCCGAAAAAGTTGCTACCGAGGCCGAGGAAGAGGTGAAGGGCGCGGAGAGTGCGGAAGCCGAGGTCGTAGAGCCGGAGGCGGCCGCGGTCGTAACGACAGCGGATGAGAAGGTGACCAATGGCAGTAAGTCTAATGGCAAGGACGAGGAGACCAAAACTAGGGCGGATGGCGAGAGCGCGACCGAGGACGAGGGGGACAAGGAAGGCAGCGAGAATGAGGAAAAGGACGAGTGAGCTCCGGGTGATGTTTTTCCTCTTGGCGTGAGAGGCACCGACTACTGTAGGGCCATGACCCGCACGACGGTGGACGTTGTTCGAGAACATTGTCCTCGCACACCCATATCCGGGCCCAGGACGGATCAGGGCTTATGCCCATACATGGAATGAAAGTCAAGTGTGCGCCGTTGGTGCTCTTCTTTCAAAGAGTTTTAGAAGTTGGAATTCTTCTCGGGAAGGGAATGTGGAAAGATGGACTCCTCCCTCTTTCTCAATGTTCCCATGTCTTGGCTTATGCTGTCCTTCGGCTCTTTTTTTTTTTCTCTCTTGTGAACCTTCTCATCTTGTTCTACTTATTTTGGTCATTCTAGAGGGTTTGGGCTTTCTTTTGTTTTCTTGTACTTCATCCAACTCCTCGACAGACTGGCCACATTCTTGGGTTCATGTCACGAGAATAAAGTCCGTTTTAGCATAATGCTAATGCCTGCCTTGCGCGCGCGATCGTCATTTCCAGACTGCCCATCCTTGGACATATAAGTCCCCTCTTATCTTTCAATGTTCCGTAGGGATGGACCATAGCCATGCCAACGTGTATATCAAAGCGGACATATGCTTTGTGGATCTAGACCTCGCACGAGATCCAAGATGCCATAATGCTCTTTGCCCAGGCACCATTGCCACCTAGGTCGCTGTCGTTCGCCTTGACATTTCCATGCCTTGTCCCTTTTCTGCAGTTCCCTAGCAGCGAGCTGCTTCCGTTGACCCTCGGAAGGAGGTGGGTCGAGAGGGCCGAGGTGTTGAGAATTTCCGGGAGTGTCGGTTCAAGAAGAGACCCCTCTACGTCCAGCTCCTGCCGCGTTTTCCCCGTACTAGGAGTATCTACAGATCAGGAGCCGCCTTCCACCACCAGCGAGCAGCTTCCCTATAGCCCTTTCCCTTGCGGCCGGTGGGGGTTACGGCCGTACCTTGTGTAAAAGAGTGAGGTGGAAGAATGCCTTCCCCAACAACATTTCCTCGTTCCATGAGCTTTCGTCAAGATTAGGAAAGAAAGGGAGCAAATATTGAAGCCACTCCTGTATCCGAATGTAGGAGCGGGGAATAATCACGGAAGGTCTAGGGCATCACGAGAGGTCCTTAAGACGAATCCTCTTGGCCTCTCCCTACGGTGTATCTTCAATCAGGGACGGGTACGTTTGCAGAAGCCAGACATCACATTCGTCTCTAAGTCCCAGATGACGATTTCGTAGGGCGGCGGGCGCGACGGAGATATAAGACCAAAAACTCTCCGAGCATATTCTCCTGCGCCTCCCTGAATTCTACGGTGGCCGACATCGTAATCTCGCTGCCACGGATAAGATCAACGGGTCGGCGCTCTAACACGCGGCAGAAACGCCGCGATCGGCTCGCTCCTAGTGCCGTCCTCATTTTCACGAAAACTTGCGAAAAAAACCCTTGCGCCAGGGCGAGGGAAAGGGCTGGGATGACCTGGTCTGGTGCCGTCCGCAAGCGGGTAAAGAATGAAAGGGGTCCAGTTGCCCCTCCTCTCTCCGGGTGCCGTCGCTCGGCGAATAATCTCAGTTTGATTTGAGCGGGAAGGCAATATAAATGAACGATCTGGTCCAGGCCGCCCCTTTTACCAGGCGAGTATTCCGGCCGCTGGGTTCTTCGGCTCGCGTGTGTTCTTTTCTTTTCTTTTTATATATTTTATATCTTTTTCAGGTCCTGGGAGATTGAGGTTCTTTATGATAGCCGCCGCCGCGACTGCTCATGTCTTTCCCCAAACCCCCAAAAATCGGCGGCGCGCTACACTATTTGGAGGTACGACAAGTATCAAAAGCCGTTGTCGCATCGGGTTCGTGCCTTGCCTTGTCAGTGGGATGTTGTGGAAGCGCCCCCGCGCCCTCCCTCCCCTTGTCTGGTAGTCCCTAATATTATTAATATTCAAAGTCAAGTTCACCCATGTGTACAGGCGCCTTGTCGGGCCATGAGAACAGACGTTCATGCAGAAGATCCCACTTGCGCATGGAGCCTTTCAGCCTGGCAATATCAAAAAGGCGCCTGATACTTTTTGTGCAACGTCTCTTACGCCGTAAAACAATGACAAACACTAAAAAGAAAGTAGTCTAATATAGAGAGAAGGGGAGGGAAAAGGGGGCACCGGTGTTGGTTGCTCCAATCGCGGATTACCCATGTCCAGTCAAGCAACGGTTCGCGAAGTGCTGATCTTAATGCAACTTGCACTCCAAGCCCAATGAGCAATCGCCTGTTTTCAGATCATTCGCAGAGATCGACCTGGACCTCGCTTGAGCCTGTCGCAGGTTGTGAGGGGCAGACGAGCAAAGAGTGACTTTTTACCCCCAAGTGCCGCGGACTTGCACAGTAGAAAAGAGGGCGCAATCCCACCTTCACTCCCAAGGTTGAGTTGGGCAAAGGGGTGGCAGCTTGCACACCATGGCCAGGCTGGCCGGTGTGCCAGCGCAACGACGACATCTTTCCACGCGCATGCTAGTTACTCCTGTGATGGTTTTCATGGCCTCTGCTTTGGCCAATAATGTGCGTTGGCTCGGTGCTGAAGCCCAGAAGACTGGCCAGCAGCGATGTCGTGCAGGGGGTTGAGGAGGGTCTGATGGGATCCCAGGATCCAGACTGGCTAGTTTCCGTTGGCGGTGATGAGTTGGCAAGGCCTTAGCCGGGTGAACAACTCATCCACATACTTCCAGGTGGGGCGAGACCGTCGTAACTATCCTCGTCATAGGTTGGACTTTGGGCATGGCTCCAGAGGCAAGGAAAAATCTTTTTCTTCCTATAATTGTCGAATCCGGAGTAGGAATTTAACTATGATTGGGGAAACGCCATGACAGTGATAAGGTCTTGTCTGGTACGTAGGAATGCTGGTACCGTGAGGGTCACTTCGAACACTGGGAAAGAGGCCGTTTTCTTCCCTTCAATGTTCTTTAGCCGCCTTGCTGCTCTAGTAGATGTGCTCAAACCTTGGCTTTGAGAAACGCGAGCTTTATGGGCGATTTGAAGTTTTATCAGGCAAACAATGGAAACCCAAGTGCTTAGTTAGCTCAAGGCCGCGAACAAAGTAAATCGAATATGGTTGAAAGGAGATCGAGGCAAGGCTTCCTTTATATCAAGTCTGGAGTCTGTCCGTACCGAGGTATTTCCAGCTTCAACGACTCTACCTTTATCATGGATGGGGAGCAATGACGAGTCCCGCTTTCACTCCTGCCACCCTTGATTAAGACAGGGCTAGCCCACAGACCTCTCTTCGCTCCTTGATTCTTCATATTCTCTCCGAAGAGCAAGAGTGGGTGCGGTAGGTTTTGGAACAAGATCACGGGGTCAGTTCTCCATCAAGAATCTGATGAAAGCCGGGATCCTGCCTCAGCCATCCATGTGCTACGCAAACTCCACGCCCAGACCTGAGAGAAAGTGAGAGCCAGAGTTGATTGGATCTCGCGAGATTCCATAGTCAGCGCCCGAAGCCATTCAACTCCCCACTATTACAAGGCCAGACATTGACGCTGCTGTCTGCCTTTGACGGAAGTGGCCCTACACTTCCTTAGTTTAAAGAGTCTTCGTCAAGTCGCTTTGATGGGTGGTAAGTGGTGGCGGGGCGGGTACCAGTCTCAATGCTTCACTCGTAATACTGGATCGCAGATGGAGATTGACGGTGGCTCCAAGAAAATTACCGTTCACATTCGAGGCTGCAACTGGAGTGTTGAGGGTTCAATGTGGGCCTTTTGGGTCTGATGGCGCGACGCCAATCTAGCAAGCGTCAGGCACAAGAACCAACCGAGTACGCTAAAAGGGACGCCGCCACTCTCCTCCCTTGCGAAGGCCTTCCTCATCTTGCCCTTCAATTTAAATTTGGGAGGGAGATGGAGGAAAGACAGATTGAGGAAGGGTGCCGCTAGACCCGATGGGGAACCAGGTCTCCCCAACCTTCAGGGACCCGAAGACGTTGTGGAGAACCTGCATGTCCCAGATTTCATACAAACCAGAACCTGCCCACCACGACATTTAATTGGGAGGGGAGGGCTTCCTCGCGAGGAAGGATGATCCGTCAATTGGGCACATCAAAATCCCGGCGCACCAATACTGTCGTGCTGGCTGCGAGAAACCCGCAAGTAATGGCACGGATGTCGCACGTCTTAGAGTCGGACAAGGGCCTCTTTCCCAGGCTGAACCTCACAGACACTGGCTGGAAGTCCTTCACGAAGGTGCAGATGGAAGAGATCAGACGGGCCCCTTCGAAAGGACAGTCTCTGGCCAAAACGGGTGCGGGAGTGGCTAGACCCAATGCAGACACAGCTTCGCCAACACCCACATCCTAATGGGGACATTGGGGTACAATTTCCAAGTTGCATTCCACCTGTGCCTGGTGGCTCCTGCCTCCTGTCCACACAGGTGCCTTTGTTCCTGCTCTCTCGTCATGCTGCCTTCCAAGCTGCTACCGCACCCAAGACGTCCACGACAGAGGGAAGTATCTCGCCTGCTACTTTCTTTGCACTTCGACCCGCCCTTTCTGTCCCTCAATGCCGCGAGGTCTGCAGGCGCCATCGATTCCACACCCATCCTGACGTTTTTGTGGCACACCCGCATCAGATACCCAAGCATTGATCTCCACAATCTTCACACCCCCATTGTACTCCGTCCCTTCCTCTTCTGTTCTTCTGTTCCTGTCTCACGGTATTAGCTCCGAAGCGAGAAGGAACCTTCGGCGCGTGGTCGGGAAGTACCCCGCCACGTTATCTTACCGTGGCGGTGACCCTGGCCACACGAAGGATTGTGCACCTCTTTCCTGAGACGGTGGGTACTTGGCATTATGCTGTGTTCCTAAGGGCGGAGACTTGTACCCATACCCGTACCAGACGACGTTATGTACTCCCCGGGAGCTAAGCAAAACGGGGGTGAAAGAGGGACGTAGGTAAAAAAGAAGCGTCAAAAAACATCCCGGCCTGAACGCCCAATATTAATTCGACATGATGGTTCTCATACCCAAGTTGCCCCTGAATAATAATACACCTCATAATTGAACCAGATCCCTCGTCCAATACCTCTCTCCTTTTCTCCTCCCATTGCTCTTGCCTTGCCTTGCCTTGCCTTCACTCTTCTCATCTTCTACGAATTGCCATCTTGCTGTTGGCGCGTCCTTCCTTCTTTCCATTTTCTCCAACTAAAAGCAGTGCTGTCGCTGCGCCTATCACAATCGTAGCTTTCATTCTGTTTCATCCGCTGTCACTTCGCCTCTTTTTTTCTTCTTTTCTTTTTTTCTTTTTTTTTCTTTTTATTTTCCCCTTGCTCCCCATTCCTTCCGTGCTATTCATATCCTGTGATCTCGCCCTGACCCCTTGTTACTCTCTTACCACTGGCCAGCCCTCGCTTGGGCCATTTCTGATACCCTCACCATCTTCAATTTGCGTTCCTTGCGTTCGTCTTTTGTCACTTCTCTTCGACATATCCTCTTCTCTTCTCTGGCCTCGCCGTTGCATGGTTATAGTGCAGCCTTGGTAGTCGTCTGCTCAGCTCGCCGAGCACTCGCCCGTGGCATTGAAGGTTGGCAAGACACCTGCGCCCTCTTCTTTCATTTGCCAGTAAGTCTTTCTACCCCCAATTGCTTTTTCCCGACCTCCATTTTCTTTTTGCGACATTGATTTTTCTGACCATGCCCCAAGGTTTCTTCTGAGACCTCTTCCCGCCGCAGCCCGGACCCCTTTAATTCTTTCCTTTTGTTGATGATTGACGTCGCCTTCCGCCCCACTGCGCTGTTTCTCCATTGAAGCTTAACGTCTTCGACACTCGTGTCTCAATTCCCTCCTGCCCCCACCATCACGACTTCGACGACGACACAGCGATGCCTGGCCTATTCTCGCGGTTCCGGAGCCGCGATGGCTCCAAGAAGTCGAAAAAGAACAACCTAGACGATCTCGCGAACCAGCTCTCGGTTAAGAAATGGGACGATGCGTCAACCCGCAAGACTGTTGAGCCGGAGGAGATCCAAGAGCTCATCCGTCGTTGCACAGAGGAACTCAAGAGCAGAGGTATGTCGAGCCATTGGTCTTATATCAGGACCTAGAGGCAACTGGGTACCTGCCTTGAGCTTCTGCCACCCCTTCACCTGGCGTTCAATGCGTGCTAACGTGTGCACGCAGCACTTAACCTGCCATTCCTTCTCCTGCCATTCAGACCAGCCTCCGATCCCAGTGCTGTCCGGACTTTTATCCGCCACTTCTTCGACCAAAATATGCGAGGAGAAAGCCTCGCCCAGGAGCTTCGCATGACAGAGCCCATGGTACGCCGTAATCGCTCGTCCTCGTAATGGTCCAATATGCTAATCGCGCTTCTTCCAGGTCCTTTCCGGAATCGTCAAATGGTGTTGGAGTAGACTACAGGGTGGCGTGGTTGGCTGGGATGCGTATGAACTGTTCAAAGTTGGGGAGCAAGGTTTGTTCGGCCCCTATGACACCCCCACCCCTTTGAGCCCATTTGTTGCCAAGAGACTGTGCCTCGGGGACGAGAAATACTGACAGTCCCGTGTGTAGACTCGAACTTCGCCCGCGATTCGTTCAAGACATTCATCCCACTTAGTGTAGATAATGGGGCAAAGTCTTGCATTATTTTCGACTTCTTCGACCTGATGTCTGCTATAGCAGCGCATGGCAAATCTAACGGCTTTGGCGGCCGAAAACTGTCTCGCTTAGCAGCGTGGTGGGCATTCGAGCAGAAGGACACCACGAGTGGCTTTGACGGAGGCTACAAGGCCTGGATTAGGTATGCTCCGGTCGATGCTCCCCTTCCCCAAACACATCATGCCTTTGTGCTCGCGGCCCCTATGTGGTATGGGTTTCTGACGTTTCGATGCTGTATAGTGCTGCGGACGCCACAAGCCATCTGTTCTTTGCTTACTTGCGATCTCTCTCGCCCACAACGCCTAATGCTGGTATCACGATGCTGCCTATGTCGCTACAGAAACTTCTCCAAGAGACCGAATACCCTCCTCAGCGGCCATCGCTCATGCAAACAACCACGAACAAGGTTCTCATGCACGTTGATGCGGTATCGCCCACCCCATTCGCGCTCTTACGCCGAGCAAACCACTTCCACTACCGCGATGACGATAGAGGCCTAAGCGAGTACTCCGAGTACGAAGATCCCGTGCGCGCCTTAACCGAAGAATGCAAGCGAGTCCTTAAGGCGATCTCTTCGACAAACCAGTCCCAAGTATCAAGTTCTAAGCATTCGACTAGCTTGCGAGACGCTTCTTGGTCGCGATTCGAGGACATTGGCTTCTCGAGCACTTTGGAGGAAGAGGAGGAGGATGAGGATGGCCTTGCTCGCAAACCTATTGGTCTACGGTCGGCCCCAGCATCAGATAACGGATTGGGGCGGCCAACAACGCCGTCTTGGGCAGATTTCCTCTCAACCGGATTTGTCGATGATGGACCGGGAAGCCCTACAAATACCCTGCTTCCTCCCGACAAGGTTCTCCCACCCATCGAGACGGCTGTGCGCCAGCGTAGCTCCCAGTCCCATCGGCCCAGACTTGAGTCTGATCGCCAGATTGAGCCCGGCGAGCTAGCAAGCATCACCAAATTTGACCTTGACGATGCCTTTTGGTGGGTATGGATGAGCAGTCTTGCTCCTGAGGAGACCCCGAGCGAAAGGCCACCTTTGGTAGATGTGCCGTCGTTGAAACCAATATTCGATCAGCCAAGTGGCTCGTCATGGAAGAGATGGTGGTAGGCGCGGCCCCCGAGCCTCTTGCTGGTGCGTATATTGCGGAGAAGAAACGGGGCTTTTTCAGCTGGACACGTCGAGGAAAGGGCATCAACCGCAGGAAGTCAACTGGAAAACAGGCGCTTGATCGTGGGGATAAGCAGTTTCAGAACCACCTCGGCCTTAGCAAGACCAGTATTGGGCCAGACCAACATGCCCGCATCCAGGCCGCGGCTGCCCAGCTTCAGGCCAAGGAGAGGCAGACGGCAAACATAGCGGAGCGTCGGGGCAGGACAGATGCGGCCTCTCAGGAGAAAACAACTAGCATCATGACTCTTCAGCCGGCTATTCTCAGCGAAGCCTCACATGCGATGAAATGGGCTAGCAAGTACGACAAGGAGGCGACCCGCAATGCATACCTCGCAGATCCTAGCGCAGGCCGTGGTGGTGAGAGAGCTTTCTCGATGCAAAACGAGCATACCAATGGGATGGCATCTCCTGTGCCCCAAGTAGCTGTGGAGCGTGCTAGGTCGCCCGACAATGAACCAATCTTTTCCGAGAAGGCTCTTGAGGCACCAGCCGACCTTCACCCTGCAGAGCGGGCCGGGCGCAGCTCGCCTGTACCCTCCAAAGGATATTGCTCCGGTTCCGACTCCTGCTGTCGTACCCCCGCGCCCCTGCACCGGAGGTTGCTGCTGAAGCAAAGCCGTCCCTTGAAGGGAGCAGCCCAGAGAGCAAGAAGCACAAGAAACTTCAGAAGGAGAAGGCACCTGCACCTGCACCGGCACCTATCACCGCCACGCCGGCGTTCAAGAAGCTCTTTGGAAGGAAGAATCGGTCTTCGAAGGTTCCGGACAATGCCGCTGCCGACCTCAACGGCATGCTTGAGAGAGATCAGGCTTCTCCCTCGCCGACCCCTGATGCTAGGTCGCCCTTGGCGGCTGCTGCCCCTGCACGTGCACCTGCTCCCGCGCCCAAGCCCGCCCCGGCTGCTGTAGCTGCGCCCGTGGCAGCTCCCGCGCCGGTTGTTGCCCCTCCGAGCGTGCCAGTCAAGGACGTGGCTGCCACCAACGCCGAACCTACTTATGCGCCATCCATTAGCGAAGCGTCAGAGCCCAACGCCGAGGATGTGGCCGATGCGAAGAGGGAGTTCTCCCGATTTGACCAAGGCCCACTCACGGAGCAGCCGGCCTTTGTTGCCGATGATAGCGACTCGGACGATGCGGTCCCTCCCCCAATTGCACGACACGCCCGCTCTCCCTCGCCCCCGAGTGCCGCACCGGCTCCTGATCCTTCGATCGAGGACTTGACCAAGGTGCAGGTCCCCCAGCCATTGACCGCTGGGCCCAGATCCGCAAGAATGCCGCGGAGCGTGCGGCTCAGAAGGGAATGGTGAACTCGTCTTCTCCTACTTCCGGGAAGCATGAGGTGGAAGATGATACTAGCGGTGAAGAGAGTAAGTTTTAGTTGTTTTTCCCCTCTACTTGCGATGCTCTATCTCTAGGGAGCGGTATGGCTAACAGGAGCGCGTGCCCAGCAATCGAATCGCGTGTTGCGCGCATCAAGGCCCGCGTTGCTGAACTTACGGGCAATATGGAAGGGGTCAGCGGACCGGAAAGCCGCCCAGCACCGCGCCCGTATTAAGAACGGGGACCGGCCGCTAATTCCCGGATTCAACTTCGCATGCCACCGAAATGACTCTTGCCTGCAAATCTTTTCCTTGCCGCGTTTTCTGACCTTCGCTGCTATCTGCTTGGAAGGACAAGCGCCCTAATAGCACGTTGACTGCGTTTTATTGACGCATTTTGCTACTTATTTTTTGTTTCTAGCTTTCGATTTTCTTCCCCCTCCTTGTCCTCTTTCTCTTTTCGTTTCTACCCAGAACCAAGATGATACCACTAGAAGAAAAGCTCGTGTTCTTCTCATAAGAAACCCCAACTCAGTCCTCCTTTTTCCACACGTTCCTATCTGCTCTTTTTTTCTCTTCTTTTCCCCGTTTCCCCTCCCCACTGACTCCTTTTCTCGATTACTTTTCGATGCGCTCTATATCCTTGCTTCCTCTGCCTTTTGTTTGCACCCCGAACTTGGAGTCTGGGACCATGCTGGTGGGCCCATGATTTTTCTTCGCAACGCATCCATAGATCATTGCGTGGCAGAAACCAGCCCAAAGGGGGATGGGGGACTTACACGAACTTGTAAATCGGCACTCGATTCGTGATCGGCCCCGTTTTGCAGCTATCTTTGGTACTTGTGTCAGCCCTTGCCGCCTGATGTTCAACTGTCTTTGCGACGATATATTCTCTAATCCTTAAACTTTGAAATCAAAATGAATTAGCAGCCAATCTTTTGTGTTCTTTGGTGTGCGTGACTGCCTTCTGCTAGTTTTGACATGATGTACTTGACACCACCACCGAGGAGGTTAATACATCTTGTCTTGGTGGAAGTGAGGTTGGGAACACCTTGGTGTTGGGGGCAAAGTTGTCATGGCAAAGGCTTGAGAATGAATACCTTGGCGGGATCGTTCACCGTTCCCTAGGCCTCCGACGTAAGCAAAATGAGATTGATCAATTGAGACCACGAGCCAGGCGAAGGCGCAGACCCCTACCCCTACATATATGGATGAGCAGCCAGAATCAAGTACGAAGCAATTTTGAGGAACACATATTACAGCAACGAGTGTGCGCACTAGACTGGGCCCTTGCATCAGCCACCGCTAAACACTCGCCGGCCCCTGATTTCATTCGGCCCAGCCACTAGCTAGGCAGCCAGGCAGCCAAGGCACTCACAATTGCCGGAAGACCGATTAATTGATCAATCCAGCATCAACAGCATCCTGTATAAGTGCCAGGGGACAGCCTCTTCCTGGTTGTGAGAAGATACCTGGGTCGTCCCCTCCATTTTGTTTCTGCACATATTCGTAGCATTATACCTTGCTCTTTCTTATTTGAAAGGCCCTTTCCCCTTTCTTTGGCCGTATCTTCCTAGCCCATGCCACAGCATCTTTGAAGAAAGTGCACGCCTTAGCCGTCCTTAATATTCCCCGCTGAATAGCTTTCTGCTCACATTTTGCCACTCACCTTTATTTTTTTCGCCTTTTGGGCCTCACTGCGCGCTTCCCACCTACACGCGACCATGGCCTCCTCAGCCGAAGGCAACGCCGAGACCAAGCCGGCCACCTTTGCCGGTCGCCTTAACCTCCAGGCCTTTGCCTTTGACACGGCCTCCTCCCCCAGCTCCCTCCGTCGAAGCCCGCGCCACCACGATACCTCGGGTAGCCCCCAAGCCCTACTCGCCCCCGCCGGCGCGACCGACGCCGACGCCGTCTCCTACTCAAGCTTGAAGAGGAGAGGCATCAGCTCCGACGCTTCGGCGGGGTCATCGCCCTCTCCGACCAAGAAGCGCGGGGCCGCGCGGGGCCGGTCGTCAGGGTACGCGCCACCCTCGGTCTACGCGCATCTCAAGGGCCTGACGGACGCCCTGGGCCCGGACCTGCTGGTGATGATGGTGGGGCTAAACCCGGGCGTGCGCACGGCGCAGTCGGGCCACGCGTACGCGCATCCCTCGAACCTGTTTTGGAAGTTGATGCACAGCAGCGGCGTGACGACGCGGCTGTGCCGGCCCGAAGAGGACCAGGACATGCCGCGGCTCTTCCACGTGGGGCTGACCAACATCGTGGCCCGCCCGAGCCGCAACGGGGCCGAGCTGAGCAAGGGCGAGATGGACGAGGGCGTCGCCGTGCTCGAGGCCAAGGCGCGGGCGTGGCGCCCCGAGGCCGTGTGCTTCGTCGGCAAGAGCATCTGGGAGAGCGTCTGGCGCGTCAGGCACGGCCGCGCGCTCGCCAAGAAGGAGTTCAAGTACGGTTGGCAGGACGAGAGCGAAATCTTTGCCTCTGTGCCCGGGGACGGGGACGGGGACGAAGGATGGCGGGGGCGAGGGTCTTTGTTGCGTCGAGCACGAGCGGGTTGGCTGCTACGCTGTCGACGGCGGAAAAGGAGAGGATTTGGAGGGAACTTGGTGCTTGGGTCGAGGAGAGGCGGGCTGCGAGGTTAGTTGAAGTGAAGGCCGAGAATGGCGGGGACCCGGGCCGGAGTGGGGGAGGGAGAGGAGTGTGGAGAGGAGGGTCTCGTGAAGCGGGAGGAAGAAGGGGATGAGTAGGTTACTTGGATACCAGGGCCGTCCAGATCTTCTTTTGAGTTGTATATCGCCTCAAGCTATTTTCTGCCTTCTTTCATTTTCTTTTCTTTCACTTCTTCAAAGGACGTTTGCTGAAGGAGTTAGGATATCAAGGACGCGGGGATTCCACGCACGAGAAGTGTTGGAAAGTATCCCTAGAGTGGATCTGCTTTATATATCCCTCAACCGGCGTCAGGAGTATGTTGGCGCATATTACGTATATTTAGAAATACATGCTACAGCTACCCATTTGCGCCTTCTTCCTTTTCCCTTCCCCATGGCCATTCCAACCGAGTTCTACGGCCGCTAGCTAGAGTCGTAGCTTACCATTGTAATGCCGCCGCCATCTCCATCCGACATGTCATCGTAGGTTTCCAGCGTACTAAGGTAGCTGTCACTCAGAGGGTTCCGCGGAAGCTCAGGCCTCGAAGTAGTCCCCGCTACGGGTGCCGATGCGGGAGGGTTCGGTGGCCCTGACTCGTTCCGGGGCTCAATAACTCTCAATGGCGGGGATTCTGGGGTGGGAGAGTGGGTGCGAGCCGGGTTCGACATAGAAACTTGCCGCTGCGGCGCCCGAGACTCGCGTATGGGAAGGCGGTCGCCCAACCTTTGAACTGGGGCTCCGGAGAGTGGGTCAAAGTCGGCGTCGTTAGAGATTGGTCGGCTGGGCGCGCGGACTGCGGGCCTTGGGTTGGGCCTAGTTGGTAGCGGAGGATTGGGGCCGTCCGATGCGTGTACAGGTGGTGCAGCGGGGCGAGTTGACTGACTAGCCTGGGGTATAGACGAGGAGGCCCCGGTTCGGAAGCCTCTTCAAAGTCAACGAGGAGCCCGACACCGTTCGCGGTTGGCCCGGAAGAGGAAGACACGCGGGCCTCGGCCGCGGCGTTGATATCCTGCTCAGGCTCGATAGGCCCGTCCCCGCCAGAGATGTGGGGAACCCGCACCGCACCAGGATCTGGCTGACGAGGTCCGGGTAGCGTAGGTGGCCGCTCACCTCGCCGCTCAGGTCGACGTTGCGGACCCCCTTGATATTTTGTATGGGCTGGAGGCCGGCGACGCCGAGCTGGAGGCTGTGGGCGCGGTACAGGAAGCCGAGGATGTAGTCGTTGGACGTGTACACGTTGAAGATTCCGCCGGCGACGACGCTGCGCAGCTTCTGCCACCGGGCGACGTCGCAGGGGCGGGCGCGCCGATGAGGACGACGGTGTCGACGAGGCCAAAGGCTCTGCGCTCCGCCAGGGTGCGTAGGCAGGTGTAGATGGCGCGGGAGCCGAGGGAGTACCCGACGAGGGTGACGGGCCGCTCGCCCTGGACCCTATTGATGAGGGCGTCGGCGAGGACGAGGCCGGCCTTTTCGGAGCGGTTGAGAGCGAGGTTGAAGGGGTTGTCAATCTTGGCCGCGACGCTGAGGACGTAGGCGGGCCACAGGGCGGCCCAGAGGGAGGCGAGCACGGTGCGGCGCAGGATCTCCATCTTGACCGTCTTCCACGCGTAGCTGGATACCATGTTCTCGAGACTCTTGCCCAGGGTGAGGAGCTTGTCCATCTCGTAGCGGAGCGCAAAAACCTCGCTATCGTCCCCGAGCCCGCTCCAGGGCTTGGTGATGTCGTCTTTATCGGTCAGCCAGCCGTTGATGCCAATGGTTACGCGGAGTCGGCGCGACTGATTGTCTCTCTCGCGCCTCGTGCGGCTTGTTTCGTAGAGAGGGATGAAGCGGAAATCCTCCACTTCTTTTGCGTAGTTGTCCATCATCTCTCCCTACATCATACACACGTTAGTTATACATACTCTCCCAAAAAAAAAAAAAAAAAAACAAGAGCAGTGTATTGTGCCGCGTACCGTCATCTTGGCACCAAAAGCCCCAAAGAGCGTCCCCACGAGAGCGCCGTTCATCCAAAAGATGCCCAAAAGCTGGCGACCCCTCCCAGCCCCACGCTCCCCATCAGACCGCCAATCGCCCCCGCGACCACGGGTGCGGCGAGGCCTCCGGTGATTCCTATGACGGCAGCACCGGCAACGGAGGCCAGCCCAACTTTCCAGAATCGACCCGCCTGGCCCTCTTGCCTCCTCTTCTCGGCCTCGGCCTCGGCCGACATGTGGGGCGTCTGCTCCGCTTGGGCGGAGGCGGCGACGAGAGACTTTGCAATCTCGGTTTCTTCGTCCAACAGCACGGAAAGGGGAGTTTTAGCGAGGACGTCAGGTAGAGCATAAAGACCCGCGCGTGTGCCGAATATGCTCCCTTAGAGAGAAGCAGCAGTAGCACGCAGCTCAACATCTCCCTCCGGTCATGGACCGAGATCGTCTCGAGCCGAGTCGGCAGGGGCTTGTACATGGATTCAAGCGTCGCGATGCCGGAACGCCTCCCAGAGGCGGTATCGCTCTCGCCGTCAAAAGCAATCAGGTCATCACCTTGGAAAGAAGGCTCTGGTTCGTTTTGGAGGCGCTGGAGACGCTTCTTGCGTTCGTCGAGGATCTTGGGATCCTCTCTTTCCAATACAATCTCCTTAAGATTCCTCATGAAATCGTTAGCCCAGCGGTTCAAGAACGCTACCGCTTCCGCCCGCAAGGCGATGAGCTTTCTGCTGGGAAACGGGTTCGGGTTGGCCTGGCGGGGAGGTCCTCGGTTGGATTGTGAGCCGGGCTCGCCGTCGTACAAGGTATCGTCATCGGACCATCCGTCCGTCTCTTCCTCGTCCAATTCGTCGTCATCCCCGTCTTTGAGCTCTAGTTGGGCTCGCATCTGAGTGATGATATCCCCGCTGAGCTGGTAAAGCGCCTTACGGCGGGCGGGGTTGAGCACCACCACCAGCTGGCGCGGCTCTGTGGCTGAAGGCGGCATGGCTCACGAAGCCCAAGGGTTTCGAGGGTAAAAGGCAATTAGAGGGTATCTGAAAGGGAAGGGGAAACGAGAAAAAATTAATGTTCAAGCTCAAGGGGAAAGAATACTAGATTTCATGAAGGATAGATTCCGCCTATAGAGAGTACACGAGGACATGTGAGAGGTTGATCATTGATGCCTATGGAGGTGGACCATTCACACTGGGCAGTGCTGCTCCTACGGCGACTACCGGCCCCTGTGGACCGAGAAAGGAACGGACTGATCCTTCATTGCCTTGCTCCCGCCATCACCAAGGAGCTAGTGGATAAGGACATTAGGGAAACTACGATCACGATGCTCCCCGGTTTGATGCCAATGTCTGCAAAAACCCCGACAAGCAATTGCCTCGGACGCCATCTATAATATTTCTCTAGACAAAGCTTGGTGAAAAAGATTGATGTTGGCGGTGGCAAGCAATTACCGATCCTACTGGGGACAAGCTACGTGGGTCTTGAGGATCCGTGGTTCCCTACACCTTTTGTTGCGGCCAAGAGCTGCTTGGTGCGACGTTGAATGAGGTTTGACCAGGGCCCCAAGCAGGTAGACATTCGCTGTTGTTTGTGCTTGGCAAGTGTGTTCTAATGATAGACGCCTTCGTACGAGGTATTACAATAATACTTGCTTGTATTATTAGTGCATCCTCCTCTGGCTCCTCTGGAGGGTCCCTTTGTTAGCTTGACAGAGTGGCTCGAGTGGCTTGAGTGGCTTGCCCTGGGGCGGTGGCGCGGTGGTGGTGCAGGTCAGCCAGCGAGGGCAGGCGTGGATTACCTAAGCCAAGGGCTTTGCAAGAGCGAATGGTGCCGAGAAAATAAGGCAGCAGAAGCCCTGGCATGGCCTGATTAGGTCTAGCGTCTTGGCGGGCAGTTCTCTCAACTGGGGCCCCGCCCCTCTGGCAAAAAAAAAAATTGGGGAAGAAAAAAATATTTCTTTGCAACAGAGTTCATAAGGTCCCGACCCTGGCCTTAACCCTCAACAACAAATCCAAACCCGCCAGTCCTCCATTTCCTCCTCACCTCACTTCTCCTCCCGTTTCCTCCATCACTTTTCCTTCAATCACCCCTTCCCAGGAGATCCTCATCTATCACAATGGCGGACGAAGTTTATGACGGTGCCATTGGCATTGATTTGGGTAAGATAAACCCCGCCGTCCTGGTAGTGCTCAGCATGAAGCCCAGGACAGCCTCTCCGCCTTTTTCTCCGGCCTCCCCACCGCCTTTGCCTTTATCTCGAACCTTTGACTGACGGTCCTCTCTTGTCCTCTTCAACAGGCACCACCTACTCTTGCGTTGCCACCTACGAGGGTAACAATGTCGAGATCATTGCCAACGAGCAGGGTAACTTCACCACCCCCTCTTTCGTCTCTTTCAACGAGAAGGAGCGATTGATCGGTGAGGCCGCCAAGAACCAGGCTGCGATGAACCCTCGCAACACTGTCTTCGATGTCAAGTAAGCCAGTCCCAGCAGAGCATTTGCAGACACTTGTTGTAGAACATGGAGAGAACTAACCATCCCGTGCCCACAGGCGTCTTATCGGTCGCCGCTTCGATGACCCCACCGTCAAGAAGGACATGGAGAGCTGGCCTTTCAAGGTCATTGACGATGGCGGTAACCCCAAGGTTGAGGTCGAGTACCTCGGTGAGACCAAGTCTTTCTCCGCCCAGGAGATCTCCGCTATGGTCCTCGTCAAGGTATGTGATTTCCTCTTGGTTTTTTTCTTCCCACGTTTTGCCCTTCCAATCTGGCTCCGCTTCTGGACTTGCCAGCAAATTTTTTTCCCTTCTTTTCCTTTCCGCCACCCGGGATAGAAAAAGTTTTTCTTCGTTTCTTTCAGTAGCGCTCCGCCGTCCACTTGCTAACGCCACATTCCCTGCACGTAGATGAAGGAGATTGCCGAGGCCAAGCTTGGCAAGAAGGTTGAGAAGGCTGTCATTACCGTCCCTGCCTACTTCAATGACAACCAGCGTCAGTCTACCAAGGACGCCGGTGCCATTTCCGGACTCAACGTCCTCCGTATCATCAACGAGCCTACCGCCGCCGCCATTGCCTACGGTCTCGGCTCTGGTAAGACCGCCAAGGAGCGAAATGTTCTCATCTACGATCTTGGTGGTGGTACTTTCGATGTCTCTCTCCTGAACATCCAGGGCGGTGTCTTCACCGTCAAGGCTACCTCTGGTGACACCCATCTTGGTGGTCAGGATTTCGATACCAACCTCCTCGAGCACTGCAAGAAGGAGTTCTCCCGCAAGACCAAGAAGGATCTCAGCAGCGATCCCCGTGCCCTCCGTCGTCTGAGGACGGCTTGCGAGCGTGCCAAGAGGACCCTGTCCAGCGGTGCCCAGGCCACCATTGAGATTGACTCTCTCTTCGACGGCGAGGACTTCGCCATGCAGATCACCCGTGCCCGTTTCGAGGACCTTAACGCCAAGGCCTTCAACGGCACCCTTGAGCCCGTTGCCACCGTCCTCAAGGACGCCGCCATCGAGAAGGGCGAGGTTGACGAGATCGTCCTCGTTGGTGGTTCCACCCGTATCCCCCGTATCCAGAAGCTCCTTTCCGACTTCTTCGGTGGCAAGAAGCTCGAGAAGAGCATCAACCCCGATGAGGCCGTTGCCTACGGTGCCGCCGTCCAGGCCGGTATCCTTTCCGGCAAGGCCACCTCGGCCGAGACCGCCGACCTCCTCCTCCTCGATGTCGTTCCCCTCTCTCTCGGTGTTGCCATGGAGGGCAACATCTTCGCCCCCGTCGTCCCCGTGGCCAGACTGTCCCCACTATCAAGAAGCGAACCTTCACTACCGTTGCCGATATGCAGCAGACTGTCCAGTTCCCCGTCTTCCAGGGTGAGCGTGTCAACTGCGATGACAACACTTCTCTCGGCGAGTTCACTCTTGCTCCCATTCCTCCCATGAAGGCCGGTGAGCCCGTCCTCGAGGTTGTCTTCGAGGTCGATGTCAACGGTATCCTCAAGGTCACCGCTACCGAGAAGACCTCTGGCCGCAGCGCCAACATCACCATCAGCAACTCTGTTGGCAAGCTCTCTTCCACTGAGATTGAGTCCATGATCAACGGTAAGCCCTTTCTCTTCCTTCCCTTTGCGCTTGCCTTCTCCGCCCTTGTCAACCTCGATTTGAATGAGACACGATGGTCTATGAAGTCTTTGTGCACAATGTACCGAAGGAGCCTTGTTCTAACATGATTATGTCTAGATGCCGAGAAGTTCAAGACCAACGATGAGGCCTTTAGCAAGAGGTTCGAGGCCAAGCAGCACCTCGAGAACTACATCAACCACGTTGAGGAGCTTGTCTCCGACCCCTCTCTGTCCCTCAAGCTCAAGCGTGGCCAGAAGGACAAGATCGAGGCCTCCATCAGCGATGCTATGGCCGCCCTCGAGCTCAAGGAGACCTCTTCCGAGGACCTCAGGAAGCAGGAGCTTGCCCTCAAGCGCCTTGTGACCAAGGCTATGTCCAGCCGATAAGCAACGCAACAAACAGACGTTGGCATAGGGGATGGGATAACAGGAGGCGGCACATGTATGCGTGTGTGTGTGGGGAGAGAGAGTGAGAGAGAGAGCTACGAGACCGCATCGTCGAAGGCAGATTCCAAGCCCGGCGAAGGCTCGAAAAAGTTGTCTAGTGTTTTTTTTTTATCATTTGACGTTAAAACGCAGCCACGCGTGTGCAAGATTGAATTTGGGTCGCGATGACTAGGGCGGTAATGAACCGGGATCTTGGACGGCAATACCAAAAGCTTCCCCTCTTTTAACACGTTTGCTTTTTTTCTTCCTCGTTTCTGGTTTGCAAATGTTCTTTACATCAAAAAAGAATGGGACATGGCGGTTGCATTTTTCCACCTGCTACAAAGCAAGGCGGACTGTCTAGGACACGATGGAGGCCGGGCTCTTGTTTGGGCCCGGCTGGCCAGGTGGGTGGTTTGGGAAACATTCCCTTTTTCATATTCACCTTCCCTTTCTCTTTGGAACCTTGAGGAAGTTTAGGCCTATAGACAGAACCAGGAGTGGTAGTATGACATGATAGACGGGAGTCTGCTAAAACAAAGTTTCCGCAATTCACCACCGAGGTCGAACAAAAGGGCAATGAAGAACGTGTGAAGTGAGGGTTGACTGCCCAAACTTGATGTGACGTGACGCCAACAGACAGCTATTTGGTGATGGCTCGCTTTCTTCAGTTTGGCCCTTGTTTTATTTTGACTCAAACACAGCTCACCACGGGGAATTGGGATATTGGCCCGTGTGATCCGTGCCGCCTAAGCCTCGTGCCTGACTCCGCGGGCAGCGCCGGGACTCCGGGACCGCAAGTGCAAAATTTCCAAAAGGAAATTCGAGTTCCGGTGACACCCGCGAAGTAAGACAGCGGGTAAACGGACGGGCCCCTCGCCGTTCATTAGCACAGAGCGTGTGAACCTCGGCATGGGATCCAAGGATATCCTCCTTCTTTCAACTCTTATACCCGTTTTCTTCATCTTCTATTTTTACTTGTTCTTCTAACCAATTTACGGGCTATGATGAGGGAATTTCGGGAGATGGGAATGCTGAAACACTTCCTTATACTAGAGCCCCCAAGGGACGAACACCGCTATCTGAGTTTGAGAGAGTAGTCACGGATGAAATACAGTAAATAATCAAAAGAGAAGCGTGATGTCCCCGAGAGAAGAGGGAGAAAATGCTGAAAGGGGCTTTTCTTCTGCGCCCGCATCGGCTTGGTCGTGTTCCCCCTCCCGTACCTTGCTGACCGTGTTCTTGACGCTTCTTCGGGCAAGAGCCATGCCGGTTTTGTGTTACTTCCTTTAATGTTCTCTCTGCGTGCTGGTCTATGAGGGCGTTTATGCACGAACCGCAGTAGAGTTGAGGAGCCGAGGATGTGTGCTACAGATGAAGAGAAGAAGGAAAGGGGGCATATCCTTTGACGTCAAAACGCGGAAAAGAAAAAAGTGCCGAGGCAACAGCGGCGGTCACTAGCACGGGCATTCACCGTCTTCCTTCTTTGTTTTCAGTTTTCGGCGTATCTCCCTTCACACGGTAATAAGAGGGTAAAACAAAAAGAGAATAAGCGACTCGAGGGGTGAGCCCGAGGGGCGAAGCTATGGAGACGTCCGCGTCCGGGGCATATCGTCTGCTTGCTTAGCAGAGTCTTTTCCCAATTGATACTTCACACGTCTGCAGCGTTGCTCATCTGGACCTAGCTCTCCCGTAAAAAGAAAAAAAAAGAAAAGCCATCACACAACCATCATTTTCAACCTTTCATTATCCCCGTACCTCTCCGCCAGCAGCCCCAAATCGACTTCGATCGGCCCAGGGACGACCCCGCCGCGAAGTCCCGGAAGCTCTCGGTCATCCCTCAACGTATGAGGGCACCGAGCGCCGGGGTGAAAGCGGCACCACGCCGCGCGGTGGTTGAAATCGATCCAAAGCCGCGCGCTCTCCAGGTAGGGATCCTTGAGGAGGTGCACCAGGCTCCTGCACATGCCCTCGGGGAGTTGGGGATCGTGCTCGAAAGCGTTCGCTACCCCAGCAGCCGTCCGCCGCCGGGAGCTCTCGTAGCAGAGCCGGATACGGACGGGGAGGTATATGAAGTTCGAGAACGCGGAGGCCGCCGTTGAGCACGGCGTCGGAGAGAGATGCCACGAGGGTTTCCAGCGGGCGTTGTCTGAGCACGGCGGCGACGCGGAGCTGGCGGATGCGGCGCAGCGTCTTCGCCGGCACGTCTAGGAGCTCAGGGACCCCGGAGGATGTAAACTTGTTGGTGGTGAAGAAGAGCCGGCAGACGGATTCGTGGAGGAAGGGATGGGCGAGGAGCAGGTTCAGCGGCGGTTGAGAGGCGGAGGAGGCTAGGTGCAGCGATTGGTCCGTCGTTACGAGGAACCAGAGTACCTGGTCTCGGATCTCCCGAGGCAGGTCAAAGAATCTGGGGAACCTGGCACCCGCCATCGGAGGAGACTATCTGCTGACCCTCCCCCTGTCTGTCTTTCCCTGTCCCAATATATCCCGCCTTTATCCAGCGCTCTTGGTCCCGCGCCTCCCTCTGCCCAAGCACAAGGTTCGTCCTCCGCCAACGTTTTGCCTTGGCCTGACTAAGACGTCGTTGACGGGGCCAGTTCACTCGTCTCAACTCCTCGGCTTCCTTTTTAACTCCGCCGCCCACACCGTGAGTTCGTCACACCGTAGACTAGAATTGTACAGGCGAATGGTGTGCCATCCAAGTAAAGTGCATGGGTAAGAGAGCGGGCGGGCAGACAGAAGAGGCGGAAGTGAGAGGCTAGGAGTTCAAGAAACGCGGCCTTTGTGTCATGAAAGGACCAGTGTCTCTCACTCTCCTTTGTCGCGGTTCGTGGTGTGACGGTGACAATCGACCACTCACGGCGACTCACGGCGAGACGGCCCAGTTCACAGTTAATTGAAGGGTGCATGTGACCAGCAGGCAAAGCAGCCGCGCCCGGTCCCCCATGCCATGTGGCTCGGCAATAATAAGAAAGTCGGATAACATTCAAATAATAATACGCCAATACTTCATTCTAGCTCCTCATACCAATTTATTTAGGCGCGGAGATTTATTCCGTTCCAGAAGTTGTGTGGGATCCCCTCCTCTCGAGAATTTTCTCACACCGGAAACCACGGCGATTCTTCCGCCCACTTGACGGGGCAATCAGGTGCTCACTCAGGGGCACGACGGGCGTCATCCCACTGGCCTGGCCACCCCCTTGCCCCCAAGTCTTGAGCTGACTCCAGTGATCCCACTACCAGGGGAGTGCGGCTTGACAGGACGCAAGACTCCACGGGTTTCAACGTCGTGTCGCCAGAGTTTATCTTACGTACAAACATCACCAGCCAAACAACCCCCAGTTCAAAATTCGGGAGGCACACAAAAGTTTTGAACACTTTTCGGACAAATCAAGCCCGGGCTGTAGGCTCCTAGAATTCGAATTGGCCCCAAGGGCAAAGGGTAATAATAATGGAGGATTGAAAAAAGAATTGCCAATCGCAAAGCCAATTTCAGACCGCCACCGCCAAGACGGCGACAAGCTTTGCCATCCGACCTCACTTCTCTGACAACAAGGCTGGCCGGATGGGCCCCTCCTGTTGCTCGTGAAAGACTGGCTGTGCTCTAGAAACGTTCGAAAGAGGGGGACGGTGTCACACAATGCCTGTCTCCCCTTCCATTCTCCCTCATGACGCCGTGTCACTCTTCCAAGATCTGCGCCTGAGCTATATAGGTTACTTCCACCCAGCTCCTCCCTCTCCCTCATTTGAAAGAGGGAAGCTGCCATGGTGTCTTGTTACTGCGTGCTTTCTTCGCTGCCGCATTCAGGCACAAGGATGGAAGAGTGGGTAATGGAACAGCTAGGGCCATTTTACAAGTAGTGGCCCTCAAGCAGCACTGCAATGCCTGATGAGGATGGCACTAGCTATCCGTCCAAAGTCTGGTGGGAAGGCTAATCCCTTCCAAGTTTGCAGGGCTTTTGAGCGAGTTTGTCAAAGCGAATCGTAACAAGAAGTCAGGGTGTTGCATGCCGCGGAGCCATCATCCTACTATGTTCTGCAACCAACGATCGACAGCAGTCATGTCGTCGACACGTATACCATGCGTGTACCCCTTTCTGGCCAGGCTTGCTTCGGGCCTCTCATGTCGGGCTTGATCGCATCTCCTTACACGCACGGTTCACCGCGAAGGGCGGGTGAACATGAGCCAGTAAGGTTTGGGGCCGAGGAGGCAAACTTCATCACCCGTCAATCTCGTCTTCGCAGTTAGCGGGGAAGACTCATGGATACAAGTCGATAGAGAGGGGTGGCGGATGCTCAAGTGCTTTTCCCAGTTCTTACTTGAGGAAAACGAAGAGTGACACTTGTTGGATTCTTGAGCGGTAGGAGCGGAACCTCTGCACGCCGGGTGTGTGTGGGGAAGGGGAAAGCCTCTAGGGCATGCCATTGAAGGAATCAAGGAGAAAAAAGAAAGAAAAAAGTTCCCTCGTGTTCCCTCGTTTGATCAGGAACGCGCTGGAGGGCTGGAGGGAGCGTACTAGTAGTAGACACGAAGGCAAGGGGGAGGACCAGAGAAGAGAAGAGAAGAGAAGGGAGGGGGAGATGGGGGATGGGTTATCATTGGGTGTGGTGAAATATCTGTTGTGTAAGAGATATCCGTGGGTAAGCTGCCCGTCCGGAGTTTCGCATGTCTCATCAATTGATATCTGCAATCTGCGGCCTCTCGGACTCGCTCTTTCTCGGAGGCTCGGAGGCAGTGGGTGGGCGGCTGATGCGCAACGCTTAGGAACTCGCCGATAGCTCTTTCACCCGAGCGAATCTAGTTGAGCCTTCTCCTTCTTCGCATGGCGGAAAGGGCCATAGGGCACATGAGTGCAGGCGAGGAGGGGGAGGGGAGGGGAGGGTGTGGTGGGCAGTGGCCATCTTCCTAGCCTCCATTCAAATGGATCGACCCATGGATCCATGGATCCCTTGATGGGGGATGGATGGATGAATATGGCGTGGTGCACCGCGCCTGCGAGGAGCGGGTGGAAGCATTGGGACCATGGATGTGGACGCCAAAGTAAAGTGGTGTAAGGCAATGTACATGTAGGCATGTCGGCCAGCGTGTTTAGCGATTGAGCATGGGCCACTGTCCCTGCCCAGATTGCTAGATTGTGCCATCCACGAGCCTGTCAGCGCCACTGATCGGTGCTCACGTTCACCGGGCACGGTTTCCCGGAAGCCCTGGCCCGCCCTCTGCAAGCGGGGGCTGGCTGGCCTGGTCTTGAAGGAAGGGAAGCCACTGCTGGCTAGCAAAAAAGCCTGGAGCGCTTGCAACTAGGAAGGGAACCCCCACCACCTCCTCTGCAAAAACAGCGGCAGCCCACTCCAGCCCCTTCTTTCATCCCACACGCTGGCACCTTGCTAGGGTTAGTGTAATCAGCATGCAACAGATGTGGTGCAAACATCATGTTTTATCATTGATACACGCAATACAATTGAACAATTTTTTTCGGCGCCTTGCTCCTTTCTAGGATTCGAGCTGTGGTGAGACTGTGCTGCTGCCGTACATCCCCACGTCCCTGACCCGCCCTGCTTGCCAAGTCACCGCGCCTCTGCAATGCACATGAGCTACGGTAGCCCAAGGAAACAAAGAGAGCGTGGCCTGACGCGACACTCTGGACGGAATGAGGAGCATCGAAGACGGAGAGGAAGGTGAACCGGCATTTATAATTAATCGATATCTTCTTCTGGAATGCCTTTCAGAAACCGAGGGGGACCCGAGAAGCTCGAGTCTCGGAGTCTGTGTGCGAGCCGCCTTCTCCCTCAGGACGCAACCCTCTCATCTGCACTTAATGAACCCATCTCGATGGAGGTGTGCTTGCTCATGAATGGGCGGGAAAAGAAGCCCACCTTTCACAGCATCCTCGTAACATAAATCATCTGAGAAAGGAAAAGGGTCGTGGCTCAAGCCCGGGCTCGCATGGCCGGCCACATGCAGCGCTCTGCATCTGAGGCGTCATGTTGAAGTGCGCAGCGTTAAGTTCGAGATGCGCGCCCGTAGATGCCGAGCTACTTGAGCAAGGGAATTGCACAAGCATCAAAACAACGCCCACACCCCTCCTTTCTCCGAACCTTATTCGCCGAGGCGTCCATCCGTGAGCTAGTTTTTGGCGAGGCAGCATTTTCCAGCTTGTGCCGCCATGGCCCCAAAACTACGAGCTTCCCCAGCAAAGCTCTCTCGACTGTCACTGGAGGGCCAAGGTGGTCAACTGACTCTAAACTCGATCTCAAATGACTCTCTGCTCCCAACACTTGAACCTCATCATTTGGCGCCGGGCCTAAAAGCTCTCTCCCTTGCCGCCGTCAATCGCTGATTGATTCGCCAGATACAAGTCCTACTTTGACGAGCACGAGGGAGCACGTGGCGAGGTGATAATCATCAAACTTGATAAGTCCCATTGATCCCTCACCCGGGCTCTCCGTCATGTCGGCCGCCGAGTCCGATTGATCAATGTTATAATAATACGACGCAAGAGAGTGGGCTAGAAAGGAAGAAAGGGAGCTATGTGGTGCTATGTTCGACTCTCCCTGCGTCCACGCCCGGGACTCATCATGTGCACCTAAATTCCCCATGGATTGACGAGACGGATCGACATCTCTTCGCAACTGCGTCTCATGTTATCCAGTCTTGGCAATCGTTGAGTTCAGCGAGCCCGAAGAGTTTCCCCGAAGTCAAGGTTAGACTCTTTGCAGTTAAGGCCGCGCCGGCGAAATTCTTCCTGGTGATGGACAAGGGCAGTAGAACAGCAATGCCCCAAATTGGGCCGAGCCAAATTGCTGTTTGGTTGGGTGATCGTGCAAGTCCCGCCCCGCAAAGGGATTTGCAATTCAGCCCCTGACGTCTGGGAGCAAGACTCAATTCTGTTCTGTTCAATAACACTGACCAAGGTGAAAAATCGTCATCCCGGGGGCAAGGAGAACGTAGGTGGCGAGCATTGGCCTGGGCGCCCAGTTTCAACGTTCCTTTTTCTTCTTCTTCTTCTTCTTTTTAGTGAGAGATACCTCGTCCACGTTGCAGAGTCATGGTGACGGCTGATTAATTTACTCGAGCCGCTCTTTCCTCAAGACCCTTCAGGGACTCTTCTCGCCACCGAGACGGGAGAAGGAGCGAAGAGGAGAGGATCTACTCAAAGAGGCTCCACGGCCGGCAGAGTGGCCGTACTGTACCCTGCTGGCGTCCCTTTCCTCATGAGGGCTACTCGTCAAGCTACTCAGTCGTGCCAATAGGGTCGCACATGATGCAAGACCAGGCGATCGTCGCCGCCTTCCCCTTTCCCTCTTCCCAAGTGGTGGATCCCGCCTGTGTCTGCCATGCAAAATGCAAAATCCCACTGCCACCGTCTCAGGCAACTACACCTTCCAAGACGGCTCATCCAGACACGCGGTCATACCCTCGCCGTTTGACCCACAGAAGCTCTGGTGTCCCCCACCTCGCAGCTCGTGGATGCACCTCCCCTCCCCATCCCGGGCTGATGTACGAAGGATGAGCACTTTCTCTCTCCTGGTCTCGTCTTTTTCCCCTTCAATTGGTTTCCACCCCACCTTCCTCGACCAAAATTGGCAACACACACAGCAGTGCAGGGGAGCCGACACCAGAAACATGCACTGTTACGTCGTCACGTCCCTCCATTGATCAATCGATCTCAAAAATTTTAGCTTTGAGACCGGGGCTTGCTGCCCATCAATGTTTTTTTTTTCGTTCTTTTTCTACTACTTGTAAAGTCCGGTTCTCTCGGGAATAAGTTAAAAGGTGGACTGGAAAGCATCAGGTTTGTATTTCATGGACTAGTAATAAGGGAATTGGGACAATTTGAACGCAGCACATCCCACGCACCTTAGCTCAGTGCCAGACATAACCCCTTAAGCCTAGACGGGGCAGCCTCCCACACACCCCTCCTCATGATTTCGCCGATATTGCACCCACTGCTCTAGCGGGGAAAATAAAGAAGAAGAAAAAAGGGAAAAATCCGCCATTGCCCCCGCGCGCCATGTAAACCCCAGTTCCATTGGTTCCTCTACCCACATGCTGGAGAAAAAAACACAAGTGGAATGTTGTGAGAGGGGGCAGGGAGAAGGAAAAGACAAGACACGCCCCTTCTCTCCCTACCATGAAGCATGTGGGAGACCCACCAAAAACTATTGGAAGAAAAAAAAAAAAAACAGCGGACTGCTCAGACGCCCAAGACATGGATGCGTCGAGAGGGCTAAGACGATATTGCAAGATTTTAGGGAACAACTTTTTTTTCAAGAACAAGATAATCAATTTACTTGAATGGAAGAGAAACGTGAAGGCTATTTATTTTGCTTTTGCTTTTGTTTCGAAAAATATTCGACAAGGGGCATGAATCAGGTCGCTAGAATAAGAAGAGGAAAACTAGTCGTCTCGTCGTCATAATGTTATATATCAGGTTTTCCACCTGAGGGTTTTCGTTTCTCGTCGAAATTACTCGACGGCAATCTCGTGCCAGTCCTCCTTGTGCTCATCAGTGTGCTCGCCGAGGTGGACTGGGGCGAGCTTCAAGATCTTGTACGAGGGTGTGCTGGCATCGCTGCTGAGGCTCGACGAACGGCGGACAAGCGGCGCAGGAGCGGGATCAGATGGCCTCCTGGCACCCGAGGTGGCAGGTGCCAAGGGGAGGAAGAAAGAGGGCATCTCCTGGCGGCGGATGGAGCTCAAGTTCTGCTCAGAAGAAGACATGGCGAAGGATGATGATACGTTTGTCCGAAGAAACGTGTAAGTAGGGGATAGTGCTTTGTCTGTCGGGCAAAGGCGGCGGTTTCGTTGCTGAAAATATTGGGTTCAAAGGCCGGATATGGAGTAAATCGGGCGAGAGCAGAAGATTTGTAAGGCGAAGAGTCTGGAAGAGAATACTTGAAAGTGTTGATGATGATGGAGAGAGGAGAGAAGGGAAGGTATGAGGAAGGGGAAGGGCATGCCGGCCATTTTATGCTTTTCAAGATGGGCCGGCGCCAGTCCACTGGACCAGCGTCCTTGCGGTTGCTCGTCAAACCCCCATCCATCTTCGCTTCGACTTGGACTCAGATCAGCTCCTCGCCCACTGGTACAGGGCTATGGTGGAAGAAGAGGAAGGGGGCGTGTGTGAGGGTGTGTTTGTGTGTGTGCTCTCTTCGCCCTGTAACTTCCCGCACTTGGTTTTCACGAGAGGTACCTCCACGCGTTAATCCCCCTTCGCCCATGAGAGGAAGGGGCGGGCCACCAAAGTATGTGTAAAGCGAATTGCACAACCTCTGAGCCCTGGCCTCTACACGCTTCTCCGTCCACGCATCACTCCACGCTGGTTGCTCTCCACTGTGACTGGCGCGCTGCTTGGTGGCCGCGCCACTCCCCTGCTGACTGGGCTATGGGCAAGCCGCCTCCAGGAAAGTCCCGGATCGTGGTTGTGCCGCTTTTGCCTAGGCCCGGGTTTCACCCCATAATTGCTTTTCTATTAGCAAATGACTGAAGAATGAGCAATGATGGAATTTTCCCAAGGACCCCTGCCCGACACGATCAGACCAGCAACATGGGTATGCTGCCCCTCCCCTCCTCGCCTGCCTTCTCGCTCCAGCGTGCTCGCCTCGGTTGACTTTCCCCGCACATCCGCACGTATGGGGTTGCACAACTCGTGCCCAGGGCTGTCTCCACCGAACCTTCTTCAACCCTGACCCTGGCCTGTGCTTTGAAATGTTCGCGGGATTTGGCCAACAAGCGGCATCCAGCTGAGGTTTTGTCGATGATTCGGAAACGATAACAACCTCGACTAGTCACCACCAGAAAGAGAAAAAAGAGAGGGGGCAGAAAAAAGAACGAAAGGACCCTCAAGTCATCCTCGCGCAGGATATCATGAGACACATGGCTCTTGGCCATCGTGAGGTCCGTTTGGTCATTGTTTTGACACCCAAGTTTTCTTATCTCCTAGCCTCGTTCTTTTAATTTTCTTGTTGCTTTTGATCGCCCAAGCCCGACTCAACAAACTGCAACATTCTTCTTGGCACTTTCACCTGACTCCGATCGCTGATTATCCAGAGTCATTAGGCTTGGCAGATATGACCGATTGCTCGAGCATTCCTGGGGAGCAAACTTGTGAGCCTGTGGTGGGAAAAAGAGAAATGCGAAAGGATATTCAGCCACAAGTAGAGTGATGCTTCGCGAGAATCCGGGGACTGGGCTCAGGTGTGATGATGGGCAAAAAATCAGCTGGGTCGTCCCGCGGCATCGGGATGGCGGCGGAAGCTAGTCGGTGGATCCAGAATGCCTTCTGTCAGGCACATTCCGACTTTAAGCTACCATCGGAACCTCTGCTGGCCCGGACCAGTTCGTGACCCTGAACCGCGGCGCCTGCCCATTGGCCATCAGCTGGGGCGATATGGGAATTCCCGGGATCGAGAATAGAAACACGCAACCCTCCTTCCCCACAGATGCCCGAGTCCATACCTCTATCAATCAACCTAGATGCAAGGATGCAACTTATGACGGGAATTGTAGGGCAGAAAATCCGGGGTGGGGCGGGTTGCGCTTCTCAGAGGTCAGCGCATCCGACTTTCTTCGTATGATAAAATCGTTCGATGCTGGAGAATATGGTGCTTTCCATCTTCAACGCATCCGAGACTAGCCGCTTCGCTTTTCGCAGGGTTTTCTAACACTTCCTCCAATCATTCATCTCCCCAGATCTCGAGGAAGCTGGGGAGTTGCGACTTTTCGGTAGTCACAAATATCTAAGACCCGAATGTTAGTGAATGGAGAATAAAAGAAGCGGGGAAAGAAAAGGGTTCCCAAGCCAAGATGATGCTTAAACTCATCGATTTAGCCACTGGCCTCCCTTTGCCTGTGGGTTGGTTTCCATATCCCCTTGACAATCCCGAACGTAGCTGGAAGAAAATGTATGCTGACCTCTTGATCATTGTCTTAGCCCGTCCTTCTTGCCCGACTAGAGGGTGTTTTGATTCGGCGCCCGCTGCCATCGTCCGTTCGTGTCACTACGAGTGTGCTTTGCCTAGTCGTGAACAGACCTAGCCGGGGATCGGGATGTGAGTCGCATGAGCGGAGGGGCCGCTGAGACGCACATATAAAGGGAAACACAATAAAAAGTCCCTTTCCATGTATGATGCTCTTCCCGATATCCTGGGGATACTCGGTACTCAAGCGTGAACCTACACTTGCTGATCATTAGCTCTACTTGAGCACCAAGTATCTCCAGGACATTGGGAAGGGCGTACGCCCAGGGAACTTTCGGTTTTCGCTAGACGACACGACAATGCCTTCGGTGGCAACAGGCTGCGTTTGCGAGAAGCCTAGCCCTTAGTTATGTCGAAGATTATCAGCAAAAGGTTTCCTGGCTATCGCAAGGAGCGTCCATGAGAGCTGTAGCCCACCTTTTACTTGGTAGTTCCCTAGTGGCGCGCAGAAGGGCAAGGGGCAGCGGCTCATCCGCGCTGGGCGTACACGTCGAGCAGATCTGGACCTGGGCATCTCGAAAGCACATAACCTCTTAGGAAAGTCCGCTAGCACATATTCGAACACCCGAGACTCCCTCGCGCCCAGCACTTCATGTAAACATGCCAGCCCGCAATCACGGCTCGAGTAAGAGGCAGGAAATCATTCATGTCATCACCCAGTCGCGAATCTGGCTATGAGACGACAAACAAAGTGCACCCGTCACATATGCATGCGTGCCATGAAACGCACTTTCTCCCCCTCGTTGTGTCGGCCGGCTTTATAGGCAGCAGTCTATGTGAAAACCGGACTACTAATCCCCTCACTTACGGAGCTTGTGGTAAGGTCCGGGCGGGAGGGTCAAAGCGATCAAGCTGGAGGAAGGTTATGCCAATGCTATTGAAGCCGTCAAGTGTCTTGCGAGGGGATGGGAATGGCTAGGGGTGGCCGTGGTGCTGCTCATGGTAATGGTGGGCAGGAAACCAAGTTGTGTGCCACGGGTGAAACTGGCCATTTGCTAAGACTTGTTGGTGATAAGTTTTCTGCACACTTGTCCGACATGCAGTTGCACCGATCCGTGTGGGTGCTAATCTCTCTTGGAATCCAATATCACCCCGAATTTCGTGTGAAAAGGTTCGATAGAAGAGGGTAGGCTCGAGGGTTTCTTGCCCCTTGTGCCGGGAAGCTTGGCTGTACAGACTACGCGAGGCCGGATATGACTCGATAAAATGATAATATATTATTCCCATCAAATATAACGTGAAGGCGTATGGATATTTGCATCATCTGATGCGTCCGCCTTTGTCACCGAGAGTTGGGAGCTGCGTCCGTGGTTGAGGCTCCGGGCCGACAAGCTGACGAGAGGTTTGTACGCGCCCCGGCGCTTAAAGCCGACCCTCCCATTTTGATTGGCCCTGGCAATCGCAACCGCATCCCTCGTGGGTGCGTAGCGTTGCAATACTAGCGATACTGTCACTTTAATAAAGGTGCGGGAAAGCAGGACTCTGCCAAATGCAGCGACCATCTCCAGCTTTCTGGATGCGGCTCGCGCGCACGCATTGAGTCCCGTCTAGGTGTGTGTTAATGGATAGTACATCTTTTGGTCCCGCCCACCGATACAGCCCGGCATGTATTGGTATTGTAACCGGAGGACTAGTACCTGAAGCAGAAACAAAATGGAAGGAAAAACAAAAACAAAAGGAGGGACAAAAGTCCAAGGGGTGCACAACTGGAGTTGACGTCGCACCGACCCTGGGGCTCTAGCCGACTGGTTACCTCGATGTCTCGAGGTGAGGCTCGATGAAAGGAAGGCAATGCAAATTTAGTGGCAAGCATCAACGCCTATACCTAGGCCCGTCCCAGCCGTGACACCGTTGGGCCGCCTGGTATTAGGTTGAATAAGAACCTGGCAGAGCCCAAGCGGGTGTTCCCTCACCTCCTTTTAGGAAACTCGAGGTATCACCCCCAGTTCTCTCTCCCGTTGTGAGCGACTCACAACTTACCCAACAGATATACGCCCCTCGGGGCCTCTATTATGTTAAATCTTCGCAGGTTACCTCGGTATGGAAGTCAAGGATGCTGACACGATGTGCCATGGATCCCTGGAAGCGCACTCCCTTGAGGGGGCGTGGATCAAGACCTACCGGGGTTGCTGCCATTTTCTCAATGCGAGTGCGAATTCTGACATTGTCGAGCGATGTGAAGCAGAACAACATCACCATCTCTTCTCACTGCTAGGATATGAAGGAGACCACTTGTGGGTAAATTAGACGAACCGCACTTTTCCTCATCAAACTATGTGAAATTAATTTCATTCTACCATTCTCGTCCAGTTGATACACTCAGATCGAGGCGAGGCCGCCTGGTGTTAAAAGCTAGATAAGCTAGTCCGTACTATGGTATACATGCCCGTCCAACGGTTGGGCTGAAAGTGGATGGTTCGTATTGCCGGAATAGCTCGAATGGTCTGAACATAGTGGATGAAACAAACCCGAGGAGCTACAATTAGACCTGAAAGAATAGTAGAGCCAGCGTTGAAGTTATTTCATGGACGCGATTAACGGTAAAGATTCTATCGCGAGAGGTCAAGTATAGACGAATGGGAATCTAGAACCGGCAAAGGAGTTGTTGGTTGAGAGTTGGAACCGGCGATATAGACGGCCACATAAACGGCCGCATGAAGGAGAGGTGGTGGAGTTAGGAAGGTGGGAGGGGGAATAGGCGAATAATCCCAAAGGTTGAAGTTGAAAAAGGGGAGATTGAAA